GATCTAATAATGGGAAAAAGTTATAGAGCCCTTTTCTTCAACTGCTTTGGAGCCCTTTATGCTACTTGACCTCATTCTTTTGTGTGGAGTGCCCTGCAAGGCCTGTTTAGAAGTTGCCTAGGTTCCCAGGGCAGACACTCTGGCATGGGCACAACCCAGGGGACAAGATCTAAAGCTGAAACTGTCCATCTGGGATTCTAAGATTTTTTTTAGCTCACTTGAATGTCATCCAAAAGTATAAAAAGTTAGACATGGAAATTAGATTCTACATTCAAGTATTTGTTAAATAATGATGGAAAAAAAAAGAAAATTATTCATGAATAAATGTTTTCCAAGTAAGAAGCATTACCAATTACTTCTTTGAATATTTTATTACTTTATTGTACTTTTGAGAGGTGATTGCTTCACTTTGTGGTAAAACTTAGGATCAAGAAACAATGTTGATTCTTACTGTCTAGGTAAATAAATATATACAAGTTAAAAAATAATAATAAATAAATATATACAAGTTATATGGTTGAAGATCTAATTATATAAAATTTTAAGTCAAAACATTTTACCTTGTTGTAGTTAAAATTCCTCTTTTTAAACACTAGTACCATTTAAAAATTTACCTATGTATCAATAATGACCTTTCAAAAGTACAGTAAAACTAAACCAAAGGAAAATATACCAATATGAAGGAATAAGAATTTCTTTTCCTTTCAGGTTCTGGGCTCCAGTTTGTCAAATTAAAATTCTTCTAGTGATTATTTGATCCTTAGTTGTTTTTGAATATATTATAAAATTTACTGATGTATCAACAACTTAGGAAGTGGCTGAGTTACAGTGTGCAATTCTCCAACAGCAATACATCCTTAGAATTTATTAGGTCTGGGAAAGGGGTCAGACTTCATTAAATGAACACAAAGGCTTCTAAGAAACAAATGAAGCATAAACAAAAGAATTTTATTTGAACAAATAGGTTTATTTTCCTTTGAGTTTGTTTTACACACTAATTTTGCTTTCACGGTTCTTTCTCTGATTCTGTCAGAATTACCCCCTTACAAACCAATTTTGGTTCTGATCAAAGAATTTGGGAATGGAAAAGTTACTTTAGTCTCTTGACATGGATCTTAGCTGCTGAAGGCAGACAAAAGACTAGGTGGTTGTTTTGTATGTAAATTTTTCCTTTATTTGTTTTTTCAATACAATAGAGGATATATTTGCTAATTTCCAGTCAATTAGTGAGGGTTTAGATACTTAGAGTTGTGATAACTTCACCCATGTTTGGAAGCTGGTAACCTGCTTACATTTCTGGGCAATTCCAATAAATATTTAGGAACTCCCTCCCTCATCCATCCTCAGTTCCAAATAATCACCTCTGCAGTCAACATAGAGGCTTGTCACGGCGCTTGGGGCCTCTTCTCCTGTCCAAGTAAGGGCATAATCTTCTACTTTTTAATGTGGCAAGTGGACTTCTCTGTTCCCTTTTCTCCTTTGTGACCTCCATTCTCACCTTTTGTGAAGCGTGAACCTTCAGACACAAATCATCTATCATTAAATTACTATTGAATACCTGCTATGTGCCCTAAGGTACAGATAATGAGGGCGCGAAAAGACAGACAAAAATCCCTTCTCGGAGCTTCCATTCGGGATGAAACAGGTATTAAAGAAATAAGGTTATATAATGTGGCACTCAGGTCCCAGCCACCCTCCCTTGGTGGTGATGGGATTTGTCTTTCCCAATGTCTTGATGGCTTTAGTCTGGAGTGGGGGTGGGGTCCACAAAGCCTGTATGGGATTAACTCAGGACATCATTTCCCCCTAACAATATGAATACGGAGAAGGTTCAAAGACTGATCACTGGGACATTTCAACTTGACAGTGGAGCATTGTGTAGGATCTAGCAAGAGCTGACTTGGATTTAGCAAAAGAGGTAACAATATTTTTTCTTTTTAGTAATAAATCGTCTTTTACATCTATATGTATTATGTGGCTTCCTAATTCCTACACAAAACCACTTTAAAATTTAAATACAGTTGACCCTTGAAAAGTCCTGGGGTTTAGGGGGTGGGGGGGGCCTCCTCACCTGAAGATTCAACAACAAGCATCAGTGGTTATCTGAAGGCAGAAACCAGTGGACCCTGGCAGCTGAAACCTGTGATGTGCAAAGGTCGACTGTATTTCTTAAGCTGACTTCTGGGGACATTTATTGAATGCATGAGACCAAAGATTTGACAAGATTCCTCTTGCCAAATCTGAACAAAAATGAAGGATGTGAAACTTAAAATGTCTTTTATTTGTCATGGAATAGCCCTGCGATATCTCATCTTGAAATACTAATCTTTAGTCATTTTTCAAAATTTTGGAAGCTCTTTTCTCTAGCATTTCTGTCACAAATCCCTAGCAAATCTCAACTTCTCCATGAACAGTCACCAATATCTGGATATTTATGTCTCCTAATGTCTTTTCTGTGCTCCTGTCCCATCTTCAACCTGATAGTAATTTTTTTCATTTGAATAATGTACATTTTATTTTTTAAACTAAACCAACAAATTATCAAGAGGAATCTTTCCACCCCACCACAGTTTTGTTGCATTCTAACTACTGTAATTTAACACACTTAACAAATCATACTAGTGAAAATTAATGTGAAAGCTTTATTATTTTGTCTTTGCTGATTGTATTTTGAACTGTATAATAAATTCTCTGCTCAAAATCTCTACCTTGGCATCCGTTGCCCTGAATTATGTCCATAACTGAATTATTTTCCCCTCCCTTAAACTTGTTCCCTTCCTTTAATCCCCTTCCTTGAAAGTAGTGCTTTCTTCCAAGTTCTCAGGCCAGAAACCCCGAATCAAACACTTCTAAAGAGTCCCCTTTTTTCTGTATTCTCCATTTTGCCATCATCTTATTTCTTTTTTAACTCAAATCCAGTTTTGCAACTCTTCTCCTCCCCACCCATGTACACCTTTAATTCAAATCCTATTTGTCACAGTCCTTAAAACTGACTGGATCAAAGGATAATCTACTTAATGTTAATATACTTTAAAGACTTGATACTATGCACTCATGGTGCTTACTGTTTAGTGGGGAAAAGACATTAAATATACCCCTGGCTATATGACTAGAATAGTACCAAGTGGCAGGAATTAGGTTGTAATAAAGTGTATTACAGGAAGATCTAATGGCAGGGTAGCCTCCTTGAAAAATGCCTTTAGGTTGAGGCCTGAGTATTAGCTGTGGGATGGAAGGACAGGGGGAGGGGACCATTGTAGAAGTAGAGGAGGTGCTTCTAGAAGTAGAGGAGGTGCAGTGGGGGGGGGAACAGGGCACTGAAAAAAGGTGAAAGGTCATTGTGGAAATGGGGGCACTGCTGGACAGGGTTGGAGCTGAAGAAATAAATCATGTAGAACCTTGTAGTTGACATTAAGGCTTTTAATCTTTATCTTAAATAATGAAAGCAATTGAAAGGTTTTTAGTGTATGAACATGATGAGATTTAGCTTTTTAAAAGATCATCCAGGCTACTCTGGAGTGTGCACTTCTCTTTTCCATTAGTTCTCAGGAGGAGTCCAAAAAAATTGAGTAGAAAAGGATGATGTAAAATATATCCATATAAAATAAATTAAAAAATTAAAACAACAATAAAAAGAAAAAAATGAACAAGATTTACACCCAGACATTCCTGCCTTTTAATTCTTTGACCTCTCTTAGACCTTTCACAGTGAGAGGGTCCCACCCTAGGTCTGCAGCTAGGTCACATCTCAGGTCCTAATCTTTTCCTTGCATAAGATTTTAAGCAACGCAAATTAACACCAAAATTGAATCTCTACAAGCTGTAGCTATGGTATTGGCTTTTCCATACAATATTTGTTCTTAATATTATTGGAAATAAAGGCCTCCTTTGATTAAAGTCAGCCATGTTCAGAGATTGGTGTAAGAATAGCTTATCTAATGTAAAAATGTCTGGAGTTCCAGTTATTTATCTTAGTAGGATAGGATGCTGCTTTTCTGGTGAACACCTGGTCCTGAGTCCCAACATTCTAACATAAAGACGTTGGAATTTACACATTCTGAGCTGTTTGAGACCCCAGATTTGTGCTTCAGGAAATTGGATTTCTTTTGATGGATTTAGCTACCAGTTCCGCAGCTGTTTTTGCCCCAACTCACCCACCCACCATCCATCCAGCCACTAGGAATGAGAGTTAAGAATGAGACAGTTTGCAACTGTATCAAATAAGTAACTATATACATCCACACATAAAAGACTGTCAGTATCCGAAGTCAATCTTCTCACGCAGCTGTTGTGAAACAGTTTTTAAGTGCCATTTTATTTTTATTTTATTTTTCCAAAAGATTTATTTATTTATGCATACAAGAGCTGCGGTACAGGCCAGAGGTGCAGGGGTGTGTGTGAGAGCGAGAGAGAGGATTCACCAGAGACAGAGCAGGGAACAGAGCAGGCAGACTGACTGAAAACACTGCTGAGGGGAGCAGCAGGTGAGTCAGGAGAGGTCTGTTGCGCCATGTGGGTTGCTCCCTGGCGAGCCGGGAATTGAACTCGTGCAGCAGAGACGGCGGATTGCTTCATAGCTTGCTTCTTAACCCCTTGTGCCACCAGGGAGGCCCTTCAGTGCCATTTTAAACCCGACCAGCTCGCTTTGGCTCAAGCTCAGCTGTTACCTCATGAACTCACTACATGCAAGGGCTAGGAGCGTCAGGGAGGGCGGACTAAAAGCGTGAAAACTCCTCACACCACAACTGACCAAGCCCCCACATCACCCCGGGGCTAACAGATTGAGTTAAAGAACCGCTTTAACGGTCAGCACCGTGAGGGCGACACCCCTGCTCGGAACGCCGGCTCCTCACCGGGCGCCCGGCACTCAGGAAGCGGCCGCCGCGCGGGACGGCACTACCTCTAGTGCCGCCTCGGGTGCGGGTGCGGAGCCCTGACCTCACGCACCTTTCGGCGGCGGCGGGGCGGGGACACGTGACGTGCTCCAGCCAATGGGCGCGCCGCCCAGGCAGGGGCTCCCATAAAGGCGCCTGTCGCTGCCCGCTAGTGGCCGCCATTAGGGTGAGAGCTGGCAGCGACGAACGGTGGAGAACTGCTGCCCTGCACCGCGTCATCGTGTGCAAGCTGAAGGGGACCGTCAAATAAGGTTTTCTTTTTACTAAAAGGTAACAGTTTCCATGGGGAACACTGCCCTGAGATCCCGCCCCCGGGCGGCCCGGGTGGGGAGCAACCGTTTCCCCCCCTCTTTTCCCCTCCCCCATCAGCTGGGCAGTTAGAAGCCAGCCAGGTGCGAGCAGTGCCGCCCAGGTGAGCTGCCAGTTTCTTTCCTTGGTGTTCCCAGCTGCAAGCTCGTTGCCCCAATGGGCCCCCCAATGCAGAATTTTTTTGTTTGGTTTGCTCTTACATTTTGGGTAGGGGGTGTTGGCTTTTTGTTTTCGTAAGCAAGGGATGGGAAGGAGAAAGTTGGGGTGAGTGGGTGGGGGTCGGTTTGTACCACCTACCTCCCCATCCTGAGAAACACTCATGGTCCTTGTGGTTCTCCTTAGGTCTTGGATTGCTGCTTGTGCTGTAGTGTCGGGAATGCAGGAGGAAATTCGCTTTGTTGTAGCGACAGTTGTTTATTCTCAGTGTCATCATTTGGGACAGGACAGTCCCTTTCCTTGATTCATTTGTTCATTCAACTGACATTGTTAAGGCCTTGGAACATGCTAAACCCTCGACTGGGTGCTACAGAATGGGGGCCGGGCTGACTTCCAGGCACTGACTCGTGTTAAGAATTAAGATGTGTATGTACAAGGTGTGTTGGGACCTGTGGTAAGGACCTGTGGATGGAAGGGGAAGGAGAGAGACTTCTGAGTAGAGGAGATAACTGAACTGATCTTAGTGAAATAAAAGTTAAAATAAAGAGTGATGAGAAGATCTCCAATAACAAGAAAATTTCCGAAGGCATGTATGTGCGGGAGCACAGAGTAATGTAGGATAGTAGAAAACCCCACGTGTTTTAGTGTGACTGGCAGAGAGTTGGGGTTCGAGGGAGTGGCAGGAGGTGAGTCTAGTGAAATAGACAAGGGACCATAAAAGGGTTGGTGTATTTGTATGCCTTTCTATATCCAGAAGTCATTTGGGTAGAGATATTTGATATCTTAGAGTGGCTGGGGTCTGACTAAATGGGTGTGTAGATGGAGTTTTTTAAGAGGGCAAAGGAAGAACCCCAGGGACTATTAGTGGGACTATTAGCAGAAGATGAAAAGCAGGTAAGTTGGTATCATCATTTTGGGGATTTTCCTGTTCTAAATGATGACCTGGAGAATTAGAAATTCCAGCCTGACCCTCCCATTTGTTCCCTTCAGCCCTGTTGCTTACCTCTGTCTGCAGTAAAGTGTATGTTGACACGTTGTAATTGTCTATTCATAAGTTTCTGTAAAGAAACTGTATCCTCAATTTGTATCTTGGTGCTTGGTACCATGGTAGGTGCTTTATAAATATTTAATAAATGGGCAAATAGAATCTGGGGATGGGAGGGAGTGGTATCCTGGAAACCAGATTTCAAGGGTCACAATAGTCCAGTGACAGATGTTACTTAGAAGTCAAGTAAGATAAGATTAAAAAAGAATTCAGTGGATTTAACAACTAAGTGTGGTAAGTAGTAACCTTTAGTGTAAAGAAAGTTCTACATGAATAGGTGGGGAAAAGTTGAGTGTGAGGTGGGGAGTAAAGACAGTGCCACTTTTTAGGGTGCTGTAGTGTGAGTTACAAAAGGGAGATGACATAAGAGACATTAGGATCAAGAGAATTTTAAGAGACTTAGAAGTTTGTGTGGATGTTAAACTAGTATTGAACTGTTGCATATACAAGAAAGCAAGGGTGTTTTAGAAGGGGGTGTTATCTAGAGTACCTGGGGAAAGAGTTCTGGACAAGAATAGGTACCTCATTTTTAGACTGAAGAGAGGAGCAGATGAGAAGATTGAATCATTGTCAAGAAAATTCAGTTTCTACAAATTACCTGTTTGACCTCAGTGGAAGCCTGATTTTATTTTTGAAGAAGCCCTTTTCTCCCCTGAAAGAGAGTCACCTTCTCTGATGACACAGGATTTGGAATCAGTATTTGAATTTATCACAGGGCAGTTTAGTTTTGACCTTTCTAAGTCCTAGAGCTATCTGATCCACAGAATCCAAGCTCAATTCCCTGCTGTGCTATTTCCCTCCAAGGTATTAGATCTACTGTGTAAGTCCAATCAGAATAAATTATTCTGTCCATTGCTGAAATGGATGGAAAAAAATATATAAATATAGAAATTTGTTCTTGAAGTAACATTGGTTTATAACATTATAGAGATTTCTGACTTTTTTTACTTAGCATAATCTCAGAATACATCCATGTTGAAAATGGCAAAATTTATCTTTTTTATAGCTGAGTAGTATTTTGTTCTGTGTGTATATACAACATGTGTAATACACTTGTTTACTGTATTCATTTGTTGCTAAATATTTAGATTGTTTCTAAATCTTGGCAGTTGAAAATAATGCTGCTCACTGTTGACAAAGAAAATGTAGTATATATACATAAAGGAATACTACTCAAAAAAGTAGTATTAAAAAAAAGATAGTATCATGCCATTTGCACCACTAGAAGGCGATTATGCTAAGTGAAGTAAGTCTAAAGGAGAAAGACAAATGTGGAGGATTTACTAATGTGCTGATTGCACTCCTGTGGAATATGAAGGAATGAAGCAAAAGAACAGCCAAAGCAAAACCAAAGCCAGCCTTGAGTTCTCACTACAGACTGCGGTTACCAAAGGGGGAATGGAAACACAGGGCGAAGGGGATCCAGAGGGCTAGTGGAGGATGTGGTGGAATAGACACATTTGGCGAGACATGAATCTCTGCTCTTAAAACATGCACAGTGATGTAAACCAATGTTACCGTAATTAAAAAAAAATGCTACAGTGAACATAGTATGTTTTTGAATGTTCTTTATTCTTCAGATAAATACCCAGAAGTACAATAGCTGGATCATGGTATTTCTATTCTTAATTTTTTTTTTTTTGAGAAATCTCCATACTATTTGAAAGATATTTTTAAAAAATTAGCACCTCAAAAATTCCAACTATATTAAGATTCAGCCTTCTGTCTAGGCTTAAAATGCTAATTTCCACTTTTTATTTTTAATCAACTCAGTTCCTTAAGATTATAATATGTGTGTAGGGAAACACAATTTGATACCTGTACTGCTCACTCAGTTAGTAATAATTAAGGAATTAAACATGTTTTTAGCTTATGTGTCCGTTTCAGGAAATCTTTGGTCTGAAAATATTTGTCAGAGATGACTTTGGAATATTCACAACCATCTCATATTCTTTTTCTTGGTTTTAAATTTTACTCTGCAAACTGTTAGTAGAAATGTAAGTTGAATTACTTCTGAAAAATAATTAAACATCTAGCAAAAGTTTTAAGCCTTTGTTTAGAAATTAATAGAAATATATTCAGTAGGTACTGGCATGTGTATGCAATGATGTGTTTGAGAATATTGATTGCAGTATTATGTATAATATCTGTATATCAACATCCATTTGATGACATCAGCCATTTAAAAAAAAGTGGGGTTAGGGGTTTTCCTGAGACATATTCTAGGAGAAGTAAGTATATAATCCATCATTCCTAAAAGAAAATAAATACAAGAAATTGCCAATAATAAGGAAGGGGTCTGGTGGACTAAGGACAAGAATAGGATAGAAAATTTTGAATACCATTTTTATCAGAATTTCTTACCAAGTGGATGTTAAAATTAAATTTGCTTATTTTTAAGAAATACATAAAGGATGCATTATCTTTTAAAAATCTCTCTAGGGTTTTCAAGATTATTTTAATGAGCCAGTGAGTAGGCAAAGGGGTTCTGATTTTTAGGCAACTTGCTCATGGAGCCATACAATGATTTGACCAGATGATGCTATTTGATTTTGTAATTCTGTCAGAACTTTTCACAATCACTTTTCACGATCATTTATGTTAACATTTTCTTTGAACAGTTGTAAATGGTGGTTGTTGCATAGTATTCAGTTCTTACTGGCATCAGATTTCATGAGTTCATGCCAACTTTTTAGAATGTATCTATGGATAAATGTTTTGAAAGAATAATAAATGACAGACTACTCACCATAAACATTAGAAACAACAGTGGATTTTCACATAGACAGGATAGGACACCGGTATGCATAATTGCTAACATACTTGTAACTCCATGCTTTGCAGGTGGGATGTCTTAGTGCTTTTAGAGGAAAAACCTTGAAGTAATCAATCTATTTAAATGGATGACAAATTACTTCTGATATCTTACAACTTATTGTGACCCACCATTATGTCAAGATAAGGTCAATATCTCTTAATAGTGTGTAGTGGAACCATCATGCAGCATTTTTTATTTCCTATTAAAAATTAAGAATACCAGTTAAGAATAAGGCCTTTCAGAAAGTAAAGTAAAATCGTGACATTGGCAGTTAACACAGAAATTTACCAACTATCATAAAAAGCCACATAAATGCCTGTAAAAGAGACAATTCCTAGTCCTCTGTTGCTGGACAGAGTTCTTCATCACATGCTAAAACTGTTCACTCCTGAGAAGATCTTTAGATAATATCCTGCTAAATGATAATTATCAGAGCTCTTGTTCAGGGACAGTCCATCTGCAGTATTTAATCATACTGTACTTTTCTATTAAACATTTCTAACATGTAGGAATAACAGATAAAATAGTTAAAAAAAAAAACCCTGTATAACTACCAACAATTGTCAACATTTTGACATTTGTTTGTCTATATAGGATTTTCAAAGAAATCATCTAAACATATTTTACAGATGTGACTGATATATACCAATTTTGAACATGTTTAATTTTTCTCTACGTATTCACCATATTAGTCTCACTAAATTGAACAATTCTGAATATCCCTAGTCGTCCCAAAATTGTCTTTAGTAGCTGATCTCAAACAAAGACTAGATAAAGGATAGTAAATTGAGTTTAGTTATTAAAAATTTAGAGAAGTTTCTCCTTGTGTTTCTCTACTTGTCTTACAGAATTGTCTGAATTCTACATTTATCTGTTTCCTTATAGTTTCATTTCATTTGTTCTAGCACCATCATATAGAACTTCTCTGCAGTGGTGGAAGTGTTCTGTAGCCACATTGTCCCATGCAGTGGCCACTAGTCATACATGGCTTTTGAGCATTTGACCTATGGCTGTGGTTTTTATTTTATTTAATTTTAGTTAATGTAAATTTACTTCGTTACCTGTGACTTGGTGTTGTCATGTAAGACTATATATCTCTAACCCTTGTATTTTCTGTTGAATGAAAGTTAAACCTAAAATCTTGTTATACATTTTTGGCAAAAAGTCTTTATAGATATAATTTTTTTAAAGAGGTTTGCTAGCCATTTAAAATACTACACAGAAGTCTGAGAAGATTGTGAGGAAGTATGGTGGGGTGTGAACTTAGACTGTTAAGGTATTCGTGTAGGAGAGCAATTTTCAAAGAGTTTGAAGAACCAGTTGGATACCTTTGATCTTTAAAAGGTTCAGTCTTGGCATTGTACATTCTGAGGGTTTGGGCAAGTGTATAAAGGTATCCATCATCTATGGAGTACTTTGATTGTTCTAGAAGTTCCTCTGTGCTCCATCTTTTCATCCTTCTCAACTCCTGCCAACTACTGATCTTTTATGGTCTCCAAAGTTTTGCCTTTCCCAGAATATCGTATACTTGGAATTATACATTAGGTAGCCTTTACAGACTGACATCTTTCACTTGATAATATGCATTTAAAAGTTTTTCATGTCTTTTCATGGCTTGATATCTTATTTCCTTTTAGCACTAAATAAATAATAGTCTGTTGTCTGAATGTTTTTCCACAGTTTGTTTCACCTACTGAAGGTCATCTTTGTTGCTTCCATGTTTTGGCAATTATGAATAAAGCTGCAGTAAACATTTGTGTGCAGGTTTTTGTGTGGGAATGGGTTTTAAGTAAAAAGAAATTGAAAACACTGATTAGAGTATATCTATAGCAGAGATACAAACAGGTTAATTAAAGATAAAGAAGTGAATGTAAAAAATGAAACCACAGAACAGAAAAATGTAACCATGTGCTTTATTACATTTAAACAGAGGAAAGCCTCCATAAACCTATTAAAAGAGAAGTATACAGTGATGGGAGTAGAGGGATAATTAGTGAAACAATCAGACTATGGAAAAAGGCAAAGAAGATCTTTATGGAAAACACTTAAAAGGAAAAATTTGAAAATAAGATAAGGGAAATTAATTTTTTTAAAAACAGTTTCTCTTGTGAACCTCCTGAAAGTCTCTGTTAATGGGTGTAATGGAGTCTGGTTTTAAGGAGTAGAAGTTTGGAAGAGGCATTTTGTAATGGATATAGTAATACATTCATTCATTTTTTGAAAAGCAGTTCCTGAGCAACAGGAACTAATTTAGAGGTAAAACATTGTTGCTTTCCCTCCCTATGTAAACATCTACTCTATCTCTAACATAAAATTGACGTGAACACTTTAATTCAGCAGTGTAAGTTCTACTAAGCATTGGATCAATATAAACAAGGTCCCTGCAGGCCTAGGGTTTACATTTCTGGGGGGTAAAGGTAGGGGGTGTTGGGAGACAGTAAACAACTAAACAAACAAAAAAAAACCATGTTAGTGGTAAAGGCTGACAGGTTGAAATTGGGAAGGAGGGGGTAAGTGTGCCTATTTAAAATGAGGTGAAGGAAATTCTCCCTGAGAAGCTGATTTTTCTGAATAGATAGGGAAGAGGAGCATTTCAAACAGACTGTAAAGGCCTAGAGCTTGGAACGCTTGTGGCATTGCAAAGAACATTGAGATGAGAGTGTGGTTGTGATACAGGGCAGCCACCTGTTACAGTTGTAGTAAGTGAGCCAGGAGAGGAGATTGAAGGAACAATAAATCAGATCCTGGAAGGTCTCAGAAAGGTTGAGCAGTTGGTTAAATGATAGTGCCACTCATTATTTAAAAAAGGGTAAAGTTGGAGGAAGAAGAATCTTGAGATACAGTGGGGGGATTAAGATCAAAACCAATTCATGATTCCTCTCTGCTGGACTAGTTCAGAACCCCTTCCAAGCTTTCCTGTTTTCACTGCTTGTCCCTTCAGTCTTTGCTCACAAAGCAGCCCACATTTAAAGATTGAAACTTAAATTCTTACTGTGGCCAGAGAACCCTACATAATTGCCACTGTCCGTTTAAATAAACCTTTTTTAAAAAAATGTTTTTTTCTCATTTTGTACTCTTACCCCATTTTCTGTATAGCGGGTCCTCCAATAAGGTCATTTTGTTATAATATTGACAAAGGAAAAAATCACAGCCTTTGTTGAACTGATGTAATTCAAGGACATTCTTTCTTTATGCTTTTGTTTCCCTTTAAGCTGCAGCTTCGGAGATCCTATGGACCAGGTTAAGTGAGGACTTACCTTCTGGCCTCCAGTCTTCCTTTAAGAATACCAAGGCTCCTAAGGGCTTTTCCACTTTCTGTTCTTCCTGCCTGGAAAAGTTGTTGCATCTACTTAGTCTTTGCAGCTCAATTCAAGAGTTCTTACGTGCCTACAATCCATTTTACAGTTTATCTTTAGGGTATTTATCACTTATAAAATTATTGTACCTTTTTCTTTTTGGTCTTTCTCCATTAGAACGTCGGTCCATTAGGGGAAGGATTTTCTTATTACTATATCTCTAGCACAGTTCCAAGTCTTAGACTCTAGAGTTCAACAAATATTTGAATGAGTTGAGTTGGATAACATGAATTTATGTCATATGAGCCCTAGAAAAGAAATTATACAGTTTACCAAGTGTTAGGGGTGAAGCTGAAAAATAGGGTTTGGTAGGGATAAGGAAACACAGGCATAGGGAAGCGTATAATAGAAATAGCTCACAGGGGAGAAAAGTGTTGTCTAGGCTGTAGCAAGAGACAAATGAGTTGAAATATTGAAATACAGAAATACTGAAGGACCGTTGTAGGCACGGTACTACACATCAATATTGTCCAATCAGTTTTCTGCAATACCAGAAATGTCTTATGTGTTGTCCACTTGCCACATATGACCATTGAGCACTTAAATATGACTTAATGCTTCTGATGACCTGAAATTTCAGTTAGTCTAAATATAAATATTCACATGTGGTTATCATATTGGACACATAGTTGAAGAGAATTTTCTTCAAAAAGAAGCTTAAGCCTACATACTACATGCCTTTCAAATTTGATTATAAGAACTCTTAAAGCTGTTCTCTAGGACTCCTCATCAATACTTTGTTAAACATTGGAGTTTTATGGATACACTCAAAAATAAAAAAATTCAGAGACCTCTTCTGTGTTTGCTGTGGGAAGGTTCTAAGTTGATAAATGCACTTCATTAATTATAATTTCAGTTCAGCTAAAGACACCACTAAGAGACTGAATGTGTAAGCCTTGCATGAGAAAAGATATTTGCAACACAATAAAGATTTAATATTCAGAGTATGTGAAGAACTCAATAAGATACATTCCCCAAGAGAAAATGGATAGAATGCTTCAGCGTGGTATTTAATAAAGATGATGTCCATGTCATCAGTAGACATGTAAAGAGTTTCATTCATATCATGAATTATCAGAGAAATACATATTAAAGTCACAATGAGATTTGAGTTTGCATCCACCAGAAATGGCTGACACGGAAGACACTGCTAGAACAAAACATTCATGAGGATTTGGAATAACTGGGATTCCCATCTGCTGTTTATTTAAATTGTACATTTTGGAAACTTGTTTGGTATCTATTAAAGTTGAACATACAAATATAACCTGTGACCCAATGATTTCACTCTTATTTTTATATCCAATGTAATGCATGTACATAATACACTACAAGCATGTTCATAGAAGCATTATTTGTCTTAGTGAAAAGCTGGGAGCAATCCAGAAGTCCTAATGGGGATGAATAAAATAATGGCATAATTCTATAGTAGAATATATGGCAATGAAATGAACAACATAGGCAATAACATGGATAAAGCTCACAAATGAATATTGAAAGGAACCCAAGGGCCTCCCATGTAGCCTAGGGGTTAAGTTTCAGCGCTGTCCCCAGCCAGGGAGCTAACCCAAGCATGGGGCAGCAGGCCTCTCCTGTCTCCCCTGCTGCTGCCCTTAGCAGTACATTTCAGTAAAGTCTGACTGTTCTCCCCACTATGTCTCTGGTGCATCCTCTTACCCCCTGCACCTCTGGCCTACACCTGAGTTCTAAGAGAAAAAAAAAAAAAGGAAGCCAAATACAATGTAATACATAGGAAAAAAAAAAACTGTAGAGTTCAGAAATGGTCACAACTTAATGTTTAGTCTTAGAACTCATGGGCAGTGGTAATCTTATGGACAAGGGTGTATGAAACATAAAGTTAGGATAAGAGCCAGTTTTAATTGCAGTACTATAGAATACCTCCTTTGATTCTCAATGACTTTTTATTAAGTTCTATTGCCTGTATGTAACAGGAGCAGTAAAGTCTTGAAGGTGATGTATAAGATTCGTAATGGCCATCAAGTTAATTAATTTTAATGTAGTGGATCTTTAGTCCTGGCTATACATCAAAAGCACCAGGAAACTGAAAACACAAAATTGATTCCCAAGTCTGGTCTTTACAAGTTGGGACCTGGCCTGGGGATTTTGAAAAAAATCCACACCACCTCACACCCATTAGGATGCCTACTATTTAAAAAAAAAAAAAAAAAGGCAGAAACAAAATAACAAGGGAGGATGTGGGAAAACTGGGACAACTATAGGTTGATGGGAATGTAAGACAGTGCAACTGCTGTGGAAAGCAGTATGACATTTTTAAAATTAGTAATAGAATCACCATACCTTCTAGCAGTTCTACTACAGGAGATAGAGTCAGAAAAATTGAAAGCAGGATCTTGAAGAGTTATTTATATACCCATGTTCACAGCAGCTATACACACAAGAGCCAAGAGGTAGAAGCTACCCATCAATGAATGAGTGGGTAAAAAAAAGATGGTATATATATATGTTATGGGATATTACTGAGTTTTATATAAAAGGAAGGAAATTGTGACATGCCATAATGTAGACAAACCTTGAGGACACTATGCTGGGATGAAGGAATCAATCATAAAAAGAGAAATACTGTATGATTCCACTTATAAATACCTAAAATAGCCAAATTCAAGGCTATAGAAACTAGAATGGTGGTTGCCAGAACTGGGGAAAAGTGAGTTGTTTAATCGGTACAGAGTTTCACTTCAAGTTCAGAAGGCTAGTTGCTCAAAAATATGAACATAACAGTACTGAAGTACACTTAAAGGGTTGGAATGGTCAATTTTGTATGTATTTTGCCACAATTTAAAAAAATGCACAAGTGATGATTATATAGCAGGAGTTGAAAATTAGCATTGCTTTCATGCAAACAACTACTGGATAATGCAGTAACACTTGTCTCTAAAAGTGGACAATTTATTTCATCATTTTGTTTTGCTGATATACTTGGTGTAGTACCTTTGCTTTTCATCTTTAAAGTAAGCTGTCTAGAAATACTTAGATAACTATTTCTCTGGCATACTCAAAGGTATTGTAGATGTTGTTACATTGACAAATGAATAGCATATCAACATCTCGTTTTTCTTTCTAATAATCAGATTTTAAATTAACTTTTTAACCAGAAAAATCCTTTACCTTGCCTTTCTCTATTCATTCAATTAATAAATTATAGAGTGAATAGCCATATGCTAATATTGTCTTTATTATCCCTGTTACTTTTTTGCCAGGAACTTAGGCTTTTCCTGCTAAAACGTCAATTTGTATTTTAGAAAAGTAGAAAGAGTGTAAAGTGAAAGATTGAAATAAACCGAAGCTAAGGAATACATAATGAAACAACTTTTAGTACTTGTACAGAACAAGGTTTGTATTAGTTTAAAAATATATTTATCATTTTGTTTCCCCTTTTTTTTGCTGTCTCAGTTGTGATGCGTTACCTGTTACTGTTGAATAACATTTGCAGTTTCTATAAAAGCCACTTTGAAGTGCTTTAAACACAATGGAGTTTTTGTTGTCTTTTAGGACATATAATTGTAAATTTTTGAATAGCAGGATTGGAAGTAATTAAAAATGTCCCTACCAAGTCGACAGACAGCTATTGTTAACCCTCCACCACCAGAGTATATAAATACTAAGAAAAATGGGCGACTGACAAATCAGCTACAGTATCTACAAAAGTTTGTCCTGAAGGCTTTATGGAAGCATAGTTTCTCCTGGCCTTTTCAGCAACCTGTGGATGCTGTTAAGCTAAAATTGCCTGTAAGTATGTCTTATAAAGAAAAATCCTGTAAATCTCTGAAAGAAATATAGTAGCCAGTTTTTTATACCATAAAATATATGTAATATCAATTTAATCCACACTACTGAAAAAAATCTCAATATTTTTTTCCTAAACAACAGCTCATTTTTCTGAGCACTGAAATTCTTATTTTGACATTTTGTGGTAAGTTGCAGTACATTCTCGTGATACCAAAAATTTTCTGACTTTTTGAAGCAGGGTTGTCATGAATGTCAACCTGCTCTATCAAGTCATTCTTGAAACTTCATGGAAGACTTCACTGCATCAGACAGAAATCAACTTTTTTTCTTACTTTAGGAATTTATAGCCATCTCATAACAAAATGGTTAAAAGTAAACTGAAGTGGGTGTTAAACTCTGAATCTATCAGAGTACAGACTTCGTAAATACTAGTTTTTTTCCTGCATATCTTGTACTTTTTATTTTCCAGAATTAGTTCTATTCTTTCATTTTTTTTCACATTTATTACTGAAGGTTTTGCCTCCCAAATTACAACTTTTTAGATGTAACCAATGATTCTCTCTAGTTACATGTACATAATTTCTTAAAATTCTTGTGTGCGGGCCTCCCCGGTGGCGCAGCGGTTGAGCGCTGGGTTGCGAAGCTGCCCGCAGCCTCTGCGGTGAAGGTTCAATCCCCGGCTGCTCCCCGGTCACCAGAGGAGGGTCCCACGTGGCGCGCAGACCTCTCCTGCCGCCCGCTGCTCCCTCAGCAGTGTACTTTGGTCCTTCTGCCTGCTCTGCTCCTCGCTCTGGCTCTGGTGAATTCTCTCACCCTCCCGCACTTCTGACTGTACCCAGTGCATGTATAAACAAAAAACAAATAAATAAATAAATAAAACATGCCTTTATTAAAAAATATATATAAAATATATATATATAAAAAATAAAATAAAATTCTTTGTGTGCTAATAGTTGTAGTGAATCATTCTCACTACTAACATTTAGAATTTCTTCTTGGAAACCACAGGATTATTATACCATTATAAAAAACCCAATGGATCTAAATACAATTAAGAAGCGTTTGGAACATAAATATTACATGAAGGCTTCAGAATGTATAGAAGACTTCAATATGATGTTCTCAAATTGTTATTTATACAACAAGGTATGCAACCCTGTTTCGCTTTCTAATTCTTAGCTGTTGCATATAAATAAATATAAACAATTATGCTGATTTCATATTTTATAACAAATTAATGCCAAGTTCAGTAATTTTCCTGAACTAACTTAGAAATAAGTGTTCTCTGCTTTAGATTTTTGCTTTGTAATTAGTTTTTTCTTACTATGAGGTAAAGTAAGAAGATGACTTCTAAGCAGATAGTTAAGATTTAAAGTGTCAGTTAATTGAAACTGGACAGTTAATTAAAAATTGAATCACATTAAGGGCCTCCCCTGGTGGCGCAGTGGTTGAGCGCTGGGCTGCGATGCTGCCCGCAGCCTCTGCAGCACTGGTTCGTTCCCCGGCCACCAGCGAGGGTCCCAACACACACACACAAAAAAAAAAATTGAATCACATTAAGTCAAACCATGATGTTCTTTTACATTTGTGAACAAGTTTTGTTTTATAGTGAAATTCTAGTTTCTGATACTTTCTTGTATTAGAAGGATTGTTTGGGGTATAACCTTCTGGTGCTCAAATAAGCATCCTGGTCTTGGGTGGAAATTAAAAGGGTAAGATGTTAGAATTTAAATGTCAGTTGTTATGTTGTTTTCTGAGCTTAATTTAGAAGCTATAAATGTTGGTTAGCAAAGTCTATCTAAGAGTACTACATCACCATCTTCTGTAAGATATCCTGAATTGTAGAAATTTGGCACTGTAACCATAGGTGTAAATTGATGGTATATATTATATATTTCCTAGCCTGGAGATGACATTGTTCTTATGGCACAAGCACTAGAAAAGTTATTTAGGCAGAAATTATCCCAAATGCCACAAGAAGAACAAGTTGTGGGTGGTAAGGAAAGAATAAAGAAAGGTAAGCAAGAAAAAAGTTTATGTTCTCTTTCTCTTCCGTATATGTTTGCATATACACATGTGCATTATCCTGTTTGATAATACTTGTGGACATTTTGAACATGTGAGTACAAATATAATGACTAGAAATAAATCCTCAAAAAGGATAGACATCTGGAAGTCTTTCTACCTTCTACTCTATTGATGTAAATGTCCATTTTAAAGGTCAGCTGAATTTTGAGCACAAGGATGTCTATCATACGAGATTGTCTTGCATTGATTATGGTTGTGGAGCTCGGTTTCCTGTAGCACAGTGCCGTTCATATGTAGGCACCCAATAATGTAAACTCTAAGATAAAAGGTTACTGTTTTTAGTGGATCTTGTATCTATTCTATACTAATAGGTGGGCCAAAATTGCCAATGTTTTCTGTACTAAAAGATCCCATAAAAATAAAATATTACTGTTTTGGATCTGAAGCGCAGTTTTATATTTTATTAAATGTTGATTCTGATTCACACTTTGTTAGGTACTCAACAGAATGCAGCAGTTTCTTCTGCCAAAGAAAGACAATGCCCTAGAGTACCAGAAAAAGTATTTAAGCACCAAGTGCTTCCTTCTGTATTTCCTGAAACATCTATCTCTCCTTTAAACATGGCACAAGGAACTCCTCTCAACTCTACTTCACAAACAGTGACTCAAGTAAGTTTACAGTTTGAATATTTCAATGTAATTTTGGTGATTGTGGTGTCAGTATGTTTTTTAAGTTGATATGAAAATTGGTCTTTAGCAGTCTTTGCATACCATTTCTGCCTCTGTATGCATTTTTGTGAACAGAGAGTAGGGTACAAACCAAATCTTTAAGATTTCTTAGAATTTGAACTGTTGTAGTATCGTTGTAGTATTAATATTTTAAGTTGTGCTATAACTTTTTTTAAAGATTTATTTATTTACGCATACAAGAGCTGGGGGGCACGCCAGAGGTAGGGGTATGTATGAGAGGATTCACCGGAGACAGAGTCCAGCAGAACAGGTGGATTGACTGAAATACACTGCTGAGGGGAGCAACAGGCGAGACAGGAGAGGTCTGCAGCACCTTATGGATTAGCTCTCAGGACTGGGAAGGAACTTGTGCTGCAGTGGCTGCTGATAGCTTCATAGTGCTCCCTTGTGTCACCAGGGAGGCCCCATGACTTTTTTAAATCTTTGATTGGTCTCAAAGCTTTGTACAATATAATTCTTTGGGGTACGGGAAGAAAATATTGGAACTATTTATTTTGCTTATAAAAAAGAAATTAAGCTTTAATACTTAACACATAGACAAACTTTGCCAGTAATCTTTTCTGTGTTTTAAAAACTTTTTCTAAATGTGACTTTAATTGTACTTTTTCTGTTGAATTGTTTTGCTTTAGGCTACAAGGGGTGTGAAAAGGAAAGCAGATACAACCACTCCTACAACTTCAGTAGTTAAAGCAAGTAATGAATCTTCCCCAATATTTACAGAGAAAAAATCAGTGAAAATGCCACCTATAAAAGAAAATGTGCTGAAGAATGTTTTGCCAGATTCTCAACAGCAATATAATGTTGTAAAGAGTGTTGAAGTAACCGAACAATTAAGGCACTGTAGTGAGATTCTTAAAGAATTGCTTGCAAAGAAGCACTTGTCATATGCATGGCCCTTTTATAATCCAGTTGATGTGAATGCTTTGGGACTCCATAACTACTATGATATTGTAAAAAATCCAATGGATCTTGGCACTATCAAGGTAAGCGTTTTTTAATAGGATGAACTACATTTTTGATTATAGAAGTAATTTTATAATTGTAAAGAAATTGAAAATTCAGAAAAAAATAAAATCACCAGTAGTGTATTCCAGTGAATCATTGGGATATTTTAAAATATCTTTTTATTATATATTATGGCACGTTATGGTTCTTTTTTTTTTTTTTAAAGATTTATTTAGTTATGCATACAAGAGCTGGGGTACAGGCCAGAGGCGCTGGGGGTAAGAGGATTCACCAGAGACAGAGCGGGGAATAGAACAGGCAGATTGGGCCTCCCCAGTGGCACCGCGGTTGAGCCCCGCAGCCTCTGCAGCGCCGGTTCGATCCCCGGCTGCTCCCCGGCCACCGGCGAGGGTCCCACATGGTGCGCAGACCTCTCCTGCCGCGCCCGCTGCTCCCCTCAGCAGTGTTCTTCGGTCCTTCCGCCTATTCTGCCCCCCGCTCTGGCTCTGGTGGATTCTCTCGCCCTCCCGCCCATCTGACTGTACCCAGTGCTTGTGTAAAAAATAAATATTAAAAAAAAATAAAAATAAAAAATTTCTACAATTCTGTAATTTTTGGGGGGTAAGGCATTTATGTAGTTTCCAACCCTCTGCATTTTTATTCTTGTGTTTTGTCTTCCGCTGGATTAGTAAATGTTCTTTATTGCTGATTAAAGCTTTAAATTATTGGCAAAATTTAATTATATATTAATCTTAGGGCAATTACAAAAAATAATAGAACTGTAGCATTTATAAAATTATTCAATATCTCAGTCTTCCTAAAGGACTGCTCATTTTGTTCTTCGTTGTGGTCTGGATGACATAAACATAGTTTTTTTGTTTCATCAGTATTGGATTTATTTATTAAAAAGACAGACTTACTCAGTGTCATGATTAGAGAATTACATTTACCAATCAACATCATGGGTGCAAAAAACAAATCTGTATTAAAACCCTTTGTTGAAATGATTGACACTTTCCATAGACCAGACTAAAATAACCTGTTATACAATTAGTTATAAATGCATCTTTGCAATTTTTTGCCCATACACAGAGTATTGTCTAAAATATGTCTGCTTTATAGCAACTAGGCCCTGCTATCATTGTGCTTGACTGAGTTGAAAGACCCGTTGTAGTCTTTTGTTTCCTGACAGTTAATTAAAGCCTCCTGCCACTGTCATATCTACTTCTGCTGGTAGACCCACCATAGCCACCTTGGTTTCATGGTTTGACAAAGTATTGGGGTCTCTACCACCATAGAGGTCAGAGCTTCTGCTTCCAAAGTTTCCTCCTTTCTTGTGTCACAAATCTGAAGAGTGATTGTTGTTATTGCCAAAACATTGTTGTTTTCACTACCTCCAAAATTGCTTCCACCACTACCACCAAAGTTGCCTCCACCTCTTCCATTCTGATAGCTGTCATAGCTGCCACTCCAGCCTTTGACACTGTCCTGGTTTCCATAACCCTGTCTACCACATCCATTACTTGTGTCCTCCAGAGTAACCAGGGATGCCTCCTTTATAACCTCCACCACTACCAGGTCCATTGTAGCTATCCACACGACCACCAATGAAGTTTCCTCCATGTCCAAATTTGTCATTCCCTCCAAAACCACCTCCACAACCACCACCAAAATTTCCAGAACCACTTTGCCCTCTTTGACTAGATGAAGCACTGACCATCTCTTGCTTACATAGGACTTTCCTTAACTCATAGTTGTGGTATTCTTAGTGTGATTTTCCTGAATGATGGTCTTGTCTAAAGAATCTTGGTCATCAAGGTTACAGAAGAAAAGCATCTCTTGCCACTGCCTCAACATGTCATGATTTCATCACTTCAGTTGCTGATCAAAATAATCTCTTAAATGAGGTTCAGTATCTTCTTTAATGCCACTAAAAAAATTCTTTTCACAGTTAAGTGGGCACCAGGCCTTTGATAATCTCTTGACACAGCTTTCTTTGCTTCCACAACTCTTCCATCCACCTTGTGTGGCCTTGTCTTCATGGCTGCATTCACCTCCTCTGCATTGGCATACATGACAAACCCAAATCCTCTGGAGCCCCTGGTGTTTGACTCTTTTCTTTTTCTTTTTTTTTTTTTAAGATTTATTTATGCATACAAGAACTAGGGTGTAGGCCAGAGGTACGGGGGGTGAGGGAGTTCATCAGAGACTGAGTGGGGAGCAGAACAGGCGGATTGACTGAAATACACTGCTAAGGGAAGCAGTGGATGAGACAGGAGAGGTCTGCTGTTCCATGTGGTTTAGCTCCTTAGCCAGGCATCGAAATCATGACCAGTTGCTGGTGATAGCTTGATAGCACTGAGACTTTAACCACAGTGCCACCAAGAAGACCCCATATTTGACTTTTTCATTACCAAAGTCTGAGTGTTCTTCATTGCTCAGTGACTTCTCAGACTCTATTCAGTTGTTTCAAAGCTTAAATCTCCAATAAAGAGCTTCCCCAACTGTTTTGGCTTCTTGGGTGACTCTGACTTAGACATAATGATAGTAGAAGGGGATACTTTTACAATGCTTACTCAGTGATGTCCAGGGACAGGAAACATTAAAAATTTATTACCCATTCTTGTGCTTATCCTCATTTCCTGCATCCTACTCTTCCACTCTTTTTATTTTTGCTGAAGTACAAACTGTAGTGTCTCTTTCATGAATATTTATAGATCAGGAACTCTCAGTAGTTGTATGTCTGAAACTGTTTATATTTGTCTTTATTCTTGAGTGAGTCTGTAACTGACTTGGAATTCTAGAATGATGGTTATTTCCCTTGGCTCTTGAAGATATCTTCAGGTATCTGCTGTCAAGATTTATCATCTTTTGTGTCTTTCCTCTCTTCTAATTGGGCATTTAATTTCATTCATCTCAAGTAGAAATCAGTAATTTCAATCTAAAGCTCATGTTTTAACTTATAAAAAATGTTTAAGCATTATCTTTTCAAAATGTGTTTTTCTCCTTTTCTCTGATTTATATAAGAGGTCATGAAACATCTGAAATAGGTCAGTTTGGGTTGATTCTTAAAGGATAAATAGGACACAGTATGGTGCAAGGTAGAAGGACTTGAGGTTAAGAACATACCAGATCTTTATATTTAGGTCGAGGTGTGTGATAGGATTCACCAGAGATAGAGTGGGGAACAGACCAGGTGGATCTACTGAAATACACTGCTGAGGGGAGCAGCAGACTAAAAGGCAGGGCTGCTGTGCTGTGTGGGTTAGTTCCTCAGCAGGGGCTCAATCTCAGGCTGTTACAAACTGCTGAGACTTAACCCCTAGGCTACCAGGGATGCCCCCTCATATTTGATTTTTAAGATTTCGGCGTACAAGATCCGGGGTACAGGACAGAAGTGTGAGGGGTGAGAGGATTCACCAGAGACAGAGTGGGAAGCAGAACAGGCAGACTGACTGAAGTACACTGCTGAGGGGAGCAGCGGGCGAGTTCAGGAGAGGTCTGCTGCGCCATGTGGGTAGCCCCCTGGCTGGGGATTGAACTCATGCTGCGGTGGCTGTGGATAGCTTCCGAGGTTGTGTCTTAACCCCTTGCGCCACGAGGGAAGCTCTCATATTTGATTTTTATAATTCCTCTAGCAGCAGTGTGGTTAGGAGGCTACTAGAGGATGCTAAGGGTAAGTAGATGATGATGTTAATTGATGAGATGATTCTCAATTGCCAGTGATCTGATTGCTAGAAAATTGTTTCAGTTTTAGTTTTGTGTTTCTTTAATTATTCTTGAGGTCTGACACATTATATTTGTTTGTATATTGGTCTTTTGTATTTGTTTTTTACTGTCCATTGATATGCATGTTTTGCCCAGGAGTCTATAAGATTTTCTTGTCTGCTTGTTTTTCTTTTTATAGTAACCCCCTCTGCTACTCTGTACCCCTTCTCTGTTCGCTTCATATGAGGCTGCCCACAAGTACAGATAGTTCTTTTCAATTTTTAGTATTTTTCATTGCAAAGGAATTTTATTACAAACCTTTCAGTTAGGTGTTTAAGGAATTTGTCTTTTTACTATCTTCCTACTTGTCTGTCCAAGATTATCTGGAAATACTTTGTGCTCCTCTGTGATTTTGTTCCCGTTATTCTTTTTACTTGGAATGCCCTTTTCAACTCTACTTGTCAAAATCCTGTGGATTTTTTCAAAATCTGAATATGCAAACAAATATAGCAAAATTTTAACATTTATCAAATCTGGGTGGTAGGTATCTGTTTTTGGTATTACTTGTATTCTGTCTGTCTGAATTATTTCCTAATATAAATACTGTAGGCACCCAAATAGTTATTAAACTGTTACTTATGGATTCTGTAATTTTTTTCCTTCATTTAGGGAAAAATGGACAACCAAGAATATAAAGATGCATATGAATTTGCTGCAGATGTTAGATTAATGTTCATGAATTGCTACAAATACAATCCTCCAGATCATGAAGTAGTCACAATGGCAAGAATGCTACAGGTAGGTCTGTGTGTGCTCTGAGTGTGTTTTTCTCAACAACAGTTTAGAGATTTTAGAATCATAATTTATGATAAAGAATAATGCCCACGCTGTTATAGAGCAGCCCCGATATTGAACGGGTTGCCTGGCTGTGGGTCCTCATCCGCGCGCTTACAAGGGACTTATGAATACTCCACTACAGGCACACACAAAAGGTTAATAAAAGGTTTATTTACAAGGGAAAAGGAAATAAGGAAAATGTACAACTCAGGGAGAAAATAGGGAAATAAAGTCTTTAATGCATCCTACCGGATCTGCCGACCTGGAAACCCAAAAAGCACTCTCCGAGCTGGCCGGACGCTGCAAGCTGGTGGAGAGTCAAAATGGGGACCCCTCCAAAGCCCACGTGTCTGGCTTTATACCAATCTGACTGCTTAACCCCACCCTCAGGTCCCAGCCACCTTTCCTTTGGTGGTGATGGGATTTGGAGTTCCCAGTGTCTTTGGCTTTGGCCTGGGGTGGGGGTGGAGTCCACAAAGCCTGTATGGAATTAGCTTTAGGACATCCTTTTCCCCCTAACAACACCTCTCCAAGTTATAAATATAGTTTATAAATTATACTCTTAAAACTGTGGGGACAGGGGAAGTTATTTGTTGAGGTGTAGCATCCTTTAGTAACAAATCTTTTTTTAAAGCTTCCCTGCATATAGAGAATCCTGGGGGGCGATATTAGTGAAAAGAGAAGAATCAGTAAAAAAGATATGGTTGACCAGAACCCATGTTCCAGTAAAGAAAGACTCAAGAGCTTTTGAGGTTAAGCCGTAGGAAGATTAAGTAGTGATACACCAACCAACCACAGAGCAGGGGATACTTGAAAAAACATCTCCTATATAACTTGAGAGTTCTGTCTTACAGGAAAAGGGAGAAAAATTGCTAAGGTAAAGCATGAGTCTTATTATTTTTAATTCTGGTAAATCTTTTTCCCTAATTTTATAGAGACATATGACATAATATAAAATTATATAAGTTTGAGGTAGGTAACATAATAGTTTGATAAAGGAATATATTGTGAAAAGAATTACCAAAAGAAAATAATGGAATTCTCATCAAAATATCAATATAATAATGAAGGTACTTTTTCTCTTCTCTGTTCCCCCCTACACCCACCCCCAACATTGAGCAACTGGTAGGGAGGAGGAGGGGAAAAAAAAAAAAAAAAGAAAGAAATGAGAAATGTACTTTTTTATTAAAAGATGTTATTGCTGCATTAAATCAGAAATGTAAAAAACCATTACTGCTAATTTTCTATTATAGGATGTTTTTGAAATGCATTTTGCAAAGATCCCAGATGAGCCTGTTGAAAGTATGCCTGTATGTTGCATCAAAACAGATAGCACCAAAACTTTAGATAGAGAAAGCAGTAGTGAAGCTTCCTCTGAAGACAATTCTTCTGGTGATTCTGAAGATGAACGCGTTCAGCGTCTTTCAAAACTTCAAGAGCAGGTAGTTAATTGTATTAACAACAAGTTTTTATATTCGTTTGAGAAGCGACTGCTGATCTATTATAAAATTTTTCTCTACATTAAAAACTTAAATATTTTAGATGACTAAGTATTTGTGGCCTTATTTACTTACTGGCACAGTTCTAATGTTTAAATCTTTTCCTACTCAAAAATCTTTGTATCTTAAATTTCTCATATATTCCTAACCACAGTGAGTTGATTCTAACTGAAATGACTTATATGACATAATGTGAGATATTTATGGATGAGATCTTTATTTGACATTTGTTGCCTTTTGTGATAAAATGTTAATCTGCTCTGAACTCAAGCCTGAACAATCAATGATTTAAACACTTAAGGGGACCTGGAAATGTTAATTATTCTTGATCTGATTTAACATAGATATTCTTTGAGCATGTGATAGCGTTTGCAATTTAATTTATGCCCTTCATTGAATTTCTGAATTAGAATGAGAACCTGAAAGAAAGGTAATATTAAATAAATTTCATCAAGGGTTCTCTTGGCTTTGGAATGCCTTCATTTTTTCAAGTGTCTTTGATTATTTAGAACTATGAGTATTTAAAGAATACTTCCTTTTTCAGCTTAAAGCTGTTCATCAACAGCTGCAGGTTCTGTCCCAAGTACCTTTCCGTAAGCTAAAGAAAAAAAATGAGAAGTCTAAAAGGGAAAAGAAAAAAGAAAAGGTTAATAACAGAGATGAAAATCCAAGGAAAAAGTTTAAGCAAATGAAGTTAAAGGAAAAGCCTAAGAGCAAGTAAGTATCTTTCATGATGCTTTATATAAAAATATTTTGGTTTTTTTAAAAAAGATTTATTTATTTATGCATACAAGAACATGGGTGTGGGCCAGAGGTGGGGGGAGAGGGTGAGAAGATTCACCAGAGGCAGAGTGGGGAACAGAACAGGCAGACCAATTGAAATACACTGCTGAGGGGAGTAGTGGCAAGACAGGACAGGTATGCTATGCCTTGTGGGTAGCTCCCTGCTGCAGTGGCTGCAGAAAGCATCATAGTGCTGCATCTTAGCCCCTTGTGCCACCAGGGAAGCCCCTAAAAATGTTATTATCTGCAATAAATTTGACTAATTGTAATGTTTATTTTCATTGTAATTAATTTATTATAGGCAGCCAAAGAAGAGAAAACAACAGGTCATTGCTTTGAAATCTGAAGATAATGAAGATAGTGCTAAACCTATGAACTATGATGAGAAAAGGCAGTTAAGTTTGGATATAAACAAACTCCCTGGAGATAAACTTGGGCGAGTTGTTCACATAATACAATCACGAGAACCTTCTTTGAGAAATTCTAATCCTGACGAAATAGAGATAGACTTTGAAACCCTGAAAGCGTCAACACTAAGAGAACTTGAAAAATATGTGGCTGCATGTCTAAGAAGAAGACCACTAAAACCTCATGGCATGTATTTCTGTACATTAGTAGAAATCAGTCTGGTATTTATGTTGGTTGAGTTGTACTCACTCCTTTTTCCTTAATCATACAGCAAAGAAAGTAGTGAAATCCAAAGAAGAGCTGAATTTGCTGAAAAAACAGGAGTTGGAAAAGCGGTTAATGGATGTCAATAATCAGTTAAATTCTAGAAAACGTCAAACAAAATGCAAGTGGCAGGTTTTTTTTTGTTGTTCCTGTGACTGTTTAATTCTATTGTTACTTTAATGTGTTTTTCCCTGTTTTATAGGTGAGAAAACTCAACCACCCAAGCCCACGGCCATGGGAAGTGGTTCCCGACTGAGTGAGACTAGCAGCAGCAGCAGCAGCAGCAGCTCAGACTCTGAAAGTAGTAGCAGCGATTCAAGTTCTTCTGACAGCAGTGATTCCGAATCAGGTTAGCTGTCCCCTTAAGTGTGCTTCTGTTTGTGGGAGAATTATTTTCTTGTAATATTGAGACTTACATCTTGAAGTATGTGTTAGTTTCCCAGAATCTGCGGTTTGGATGCCATACATTCTTTAATTGCATGTTGATAATATTACTATTTTTCTTAAGAGATGCTATGTAAAATGAAATTTCATATTATACATATGTGACTTGCAGGCTTGTAATGTTGAAAATAAGTTTACTAAAGGTGGGATAGTCTCTTAATATATAATACCAGATCTTAATATCAGAATATATCAAATAGTGAAATGACGATCTTCACTTCTTTTTATGAAATAAAAGATTATTTGAGGACACCTTTCACTTTGCTCTCCATGTTATAGCAGATCACTCTAATGTTGAAAGTGTTTCCTGTTGTGGCAATATATTCTGAAAACGAATAATCATTTTGAATTAAGAAGCCAGTCATTCGAGAAACTGTAAAGTAGCGTTTCCCCCCACTTCTGTGGTTTCTTCACAGTAGAATATTATCTTCCTTTCATAGAAAAATGTGCTTAAAATTCAGATTCTCAGTAATGCTAAAATACCATATTGACTTGCGGAGTGTACCACAGCTTTGTCAAGCATAACTCATTCATTTTCCTTTGTGCTCTTTGATTGATAGTTTTATAGTTGACCAGTTATCACTGCCTCAAGGAACTGACTTGGCAGTGGCATTTCATCATTGTTTACCAAAAGGCAAAATCAGAATATTGGGTCCTTTTGTGCCTAAATTTTGCTTTATTTTTAATGGGATGTTTCTTATTTGTCATGAATTTCAATTATCTTTTTTAAGAGAAATTCCCACATAGAATGTTGTCACAGCAGGAATTCTTACCATTTGTAAGAATATCCCTCTTTCACTTGTAGTAAGGGTCTTTTAGCTTGCAGTACTTCTCACTGTGAGTTCTGTTTAGTTTGTATGCATGTGGTTCTGATTGCTGCCTTTTGTTTTTACATTTCTTAGGTATTTAGTGGTAAACATTTCTGTTAGAATAAAAAGAGTTTTTGCTTTTGTTGGAATTTGTCATACTAGACATTTTTTTAATTTAGGGCTTTGATTATACATTATTTCCTTATATTTGACTAAACATAATACAATACTGGAAAAACTCAAGTTGCATTTAGTATTTTAAGTTGTATTTAGCATTTGTAATTTCATCTAATAAAGCATTTATGGCCTAATAAGTTAGAGCATTTTGTCTTTTATTTGTAGGATAAAACTCTTAATTATAATGTTAATTTGAATTATCTAATTATTGATTGACTACTGATCAATAAATGCCTTGAGTACTAGAAGAAAATTAGCACTGAAGCATAGGATAGTTTAATAAGTAAATTAAATTTCATCTGAGCTATCAGTTTCTGAAAGAATCCTCCAAACGTTTCTTGAAGGAAAGAATGTTTGTCACCCACTATGTGTCCTTAAAATGTGTAGCAGAATAACTGCCTCAGGATTCTAATTATAAAGCACTATGGAATTTTTATTTCATAACTGACATTTTTGTTTAATGTCATATTTTTCAAGTAATCGGCTGTTTTAAAAAACATTATTGTTAAAAGTAGCAATTTTTTAAATTTCAGCCTACAGTATGGATAATGTGTAAATTTGTAGCACTATAATAAGTTTGTCTTCTAACATGAGTTATCCTTTATCTTTGAAATTTTAATACTTTTATAAATATTCAAGCTATGTTCCTCATTGGAAAAACACTATAATATGTGCTATAAATTGCAAGTGGAATGCCTGATTTTATAAGGAAAAGACAGTTGTATTTTTGATTAAATTAGTAGATGATGCAATATCATCTCTTGTCTTAAACATTAACTTCAGTTGTTCACATTAAAATACTTCAAGACTCAATTTCTAGTGTGTAAACTAAGAATTCTTTTTACTTTACTGAGAACAATAAAAGAAGAATTTTAAACTGAAAAAAATGTTTAAATCAGATCATGTCAATAGCAGCCTCTACTGAAAGATTAAGTGAAGCATCTACCATTCTTAATTATTCACATGACTTTCTCAAGGAGCAGATGACAAATCCCAAATCTAAATTTTTAGGGTAGGAAAAAATTAGGCTATTTACTGAGAAAATGAAATGTGAAAATTAGATACATTAGCAAAAACTTTATTAGTAAAAATTAACTGAAAATATAAATAAGATTTTTTAGCTTTCAAATTTATCAAGATTTGTCCAGAACTGAAACTTACAGTAATGGTTTGATTCCCAGAACTCTAGTTAAGAAGGGGTTGATTATTCAAGATAATACCTGTGATTATAATTTCATTTCTTCAAATACTTAATAGAGGAAATTTTTTTTGAAGCTTCTGTGAAAAATGCTTTTCTGATAGGATATGGAGCTTTAGTAAATTTTTCTTAATCTGTTTTTTAATACCTGTCTCCCTAAATTTTATAGCAACGTAGCTATATACAGTTTTCTTAACCAAGTCTTAGTCTTTTGTAATTTTTGTTATAAGGAACAGAGCTCTAAGTTAACTTCACTAAATTCATTAATATTAACTCCTAGGTTTTTACAATTATCCTGTACTGTGAGTTGATCTCTTTTTACTGAAATATCATTTTGTTTAAATGTGCCCAAATGTTTTAAGAGTAAATTTATGAAAAACATTTAAGTATTATAAATGGTGTTAGAGCTGTGTATTCCACATTACTTAAAATTATTTTCTATGTATTACCAAACCTTATTTTATGTGCTTTTGAAAAACATGGACTTAATTCTGATTTGTTCAATAGAATTAAGTGGGAAAGCAGTGATTTCCAAGGAAAGTTTCATTTAAAAAGTCTTTATTATTTCAAACAAGATATAAATCAATGCTAAGATAGAATTGTAGTAAAGCTCCAAAGCTTTGAAAAATAAAAATGAGGAATCTGATTTTATCATTTATCTTCCTGGATGATATCAGCATATGTAAATTGTCAATTGAAGATAAATTGAGAGTGTTTATTAAACATTGTTATAAATATAAAATCTTTCTAAACTTTTTTTATTACCACCAAGATATTATTAAATATCAGGTAAATAAGGCTTAACAATGAAATGAATTCCCAGTAGATACACCCTTTGTTAGCTAGGCTGTGCCCTTACATACACAAGTTGCAAGCTGTTGAGAGTTTTTCTATAGTACAAGTAATAGGGGAAGAATAGGATTAGCTTTAATCCTGTGACTAATAATATGACTGAGAAATAAATTAAGCAGCTCACCTGTAGAAGTGCTTTTGAATGAAACCTCCAGGAATTATCTTAATGTAAGCACATATTCTTGATTAGTATGGGATAGACTATTTTGCAGCAATGTTTATCATTTCAGCTGTTAAGCAATTACACACAAAGAAGTTCAGTGGTTATGGTTCAGAAGTTAGCTGGTTAAGACACAGTGGATTTGTCCCTTCATCTGTTGCACCTTTTGGTTTCATAGGCACCTTTGGTTTTCATAGCCTTTGGTTTCATAGGCTTTAGTGTAATGTTCAGAGAGTGACATTTATTACATTCTTTAACAATTGCTCTCTCTTTATTTAACTTTCTTAGTTATGGGTAACTTTAAAGTAGGAATAAAATAACAATTTTCCTTTTGGTGCTAAAACCCAGGTTTTCTGTAGAAGTGACAGGATGTGATTTTTTTTCATGCAAGGTTAAACAGACAAAATTGGTTCAAGTATAGATTTTGTTTTACGATATCAGTGGAAGGTGGTTTAGTAAAGGTAGGAAGTATTGTTTTGGAGTAATGACAGTTTTGGAGTAATCTTAGTCATTCAAACCAGAAAGATGATTGAGTATCTATCATTATAAGTTTCTGAAACTTTTATTAGTTTCTCATCAATTAACATGTTTTCAAAGCAAATGAAGGATAAATTCAAGGATTCAAGCTTGATTAAATACTCATATATATTAAAATCTGTGCTTGAAACTTGAGTCTTAGAAATAGTGATGAATTTTGTCATGTGCATTTAAAATTTTTCTTTTCAAATAAATAAAAAGGTTATCTGGGTACTATTTCTCCTCCTTGGCACTACATTAGAATCACCGCTAAAAACTTTTAAAAAAGTGTACATCTGAATGGGGCGAGGTATGAATAGTGTTCAGAGTATCCCAGGTGATTCTATTGTGCTGCCCTCTTTGAAAACCGTCTAAGTTTTTTTGTTTTGTTTTTCCCCCTACTTTCTAATGAGGTTTAAATAAACTAGGTAAAAGAATGAGAAATTTATAATTGGTTTGTTCTTCTATTTTAAAATCAGTATAAACACTTCAAAGAAAACTGCCAAAACATTTTTTAAATGGACCAAACTTTTTTACATCAATAGCAAATTGCTTGATTTTTGTCTATAGAATAAGGCTTTGGTGATAAACTAGCATTACCTAATTAATGGCTTAGGTAGTAAAACTTTTTTTTTAAGATTTATTTATTTGTGGGCCTCCCCGGTGGCACAGCGGGTTGAGCACAGTTCTGTGAAGTTCCAGCCAGGGAGATTCCCTACATGGCGCAGCAGACCTCTCCTGTCGCGCCTGCTTCTCCCCTCTGCAGTGCTTTCAGTCCATCTGCCTGTCCTGCTCCCCACTCTGTCTCTGGTGAATCCTCTCACCCTCCTGTACCTCTGGCCTGTTTATTTATAAATAAATAAATTTATTTATTTATTTATAAATAAAAAATAAATCTTTAAAAAGAAAGACTTATTTGTGCATACAAGGACTGGGGTACAGGTCAGAGGTGCAGGGGGTGAGAGGATTCACCAGAGACAGATTGGGGAGCAGAACAGGTAGATCTACTGAAATACACAGCTGAGGGGAGCAGCAGGCAAGACAGGAGAGGTCTGCTTTACCATGTGAGTTAGCTCCCTGGCCGGGGATTGAACTCATGCTGCAATGGCTGGGGAAAGCTTAATAGCACTGACTTTAACCCCTGGGTCACCTAGGAGGCCCAAGTAGTAAAAATTCTTTCCTTTAAAATAAGGTAGCAAAATCAGGCAGTGATTTCTAATCATTTTTCTATGCATTGTCTTGTATAATGGAAGTGTGATTTATTTTTCTAACTTAAAAAACTTTAGTAAGTTTTCTTGCTTGATGTGGTGTTATGTTTTGGTTTTGCATTGTGAATTATCTTTCTATTTGGCTTATAGAGTTTTGAAGTTCATATTGGCTTGCTGATAACATTTGGTATCTCTGGAGCAATTTATCCCAGTGATTTGACAGGTGATAGATATTAAACAAACTCTTCAATCAAATATATGATTCTAGCACTCTCTCTATGATTAATTTTTTTGCCAGTTCAGAATCAAAACTTGTAATCAGTTTTACATTGAGGTTTTTTGGGAGATGTTAAAAGAGAACATATTAAGGAAGGTACATAATATGTTTTTGTTTAGTACTTTATGTATATTACCCAGTTTTATCCACATAAGGTAGGTATGCTATAACCACAGTTTCCTGGAGAAATTAGTTGCCTCTATGTATATGTTTACTCTAGAGCTCAATTTAGCTAATGTTGTTAGGGAGCCGGTAAGGTTTCTTCACTAATTGAGATATTATATTAAGCTTCATAGTAAAAAGGCCAAGATGTCATAAGTAAACAGAAATATGCAGTTTTACTTTACTATGTTCCTGGAAAGTGAGCTATGTAAGACTAGAATGAGAAGCAAAATACTAAGTCATAGGTTGTCATTAGTCATCTAGCTGTACAGTCTATGAGACTTCTATAAGACATAGTATATAGGTGATTTGGTTCTTTCCTTATATTAGAATTCATTGATGTCTTTTGTTAATATCTTCAAATTTTGAGGTGCTAATTTTTATAATTCTGAGTTTGTTTTATATGTCAGGAAACAAAGATTATACCCTTGAATATTTTAGCAGAATACTTACATAGTATGTCATATTTTTATTATACGTAAGAGTTTATGTTGTAGAATAATATAGTTTAGGTGCATATTTGAGTAATTGATAAATATATAAATGTGCATATATTTTATGATCATTTTAATGAAGTCTGTTTTTTGTTCAGAGCTAAAAATCATAACTTTCCCCTAAATGTGAAAGCTTCCTGAATCTATGTTCTCAATTTTTTTAGTTTCTCTTCTTCCCTTACTTTTCCACCTAATGCTTGACACTTAAAATAATATTTAGTGGAGTGACATTAAGATGGTTCGTGTCATTTTAAATACTTGAATTCTTTAAATTAAAGCACGTCATTGAGTGGCATTTAGCAATTTTAACAATGTCCAGCATCAAACATCTTAGGAGAGGAAAGAACAGTAACACATCCAATGGAAACTGATGGCATTTCAGGAGGCAGAAGGTAATTATTAAAATTAGAATATTTTAAGTTTGAATAAGATTTGGTGTTGACCAGCCTTGGTGCACTAGAACCTGAAGCAAATAGTGCTTACATGGCTCATGAAAACTGGCCAGAATGGGTCAGAGATGGGTCAAGGCATTAATTACCAATTTGGTGCTTTGCTGCACTGACTAGTCTTGTGATTTGGAGGCTAGTACCAGAATCAATTATAAGATAAAGAAAAAGGAACCGAATTATCCCCCTCACAGAGAGGGCTCACTTTCTATCTACTTATACTTCCATTGTCAACTATAAAGGCATTTCTAAAAGAAAAGAGGCACTATAAACCTATTTGTTACTGTATAGTTGAGGCTGCCAAATAGTTTGAAGTAATTAGAATATTAATTAGATGGGTTCTTTATTATTATTGCTTAGCAAGCAAAGCAGATGTTATCACAAAATCAAATTGCTTCACTTTTAATAAGACTATCTATTCAGACAAATAACTACCCTTCTCTTATAGTAACTTCTTAATTGTTTTAAGCCGCTGATGGCTGTATTTATCGCTACTTGATAGAAGATGATTGTAGTATAGTTGGTACTGCATGTTTAACTTGTTATCGCTGTTGTAACTTGTTCTTTTTTAAACTATCACTTATCCAAGTTCTTTACTGTGAAGTAACACACTGTTCTTTTTTTGCCTATATAATCCAAATTGAAATTCATGGGTGGATATTTATTCCTTTATGTGGAAAAGAAAATATCCCATTTCAAAGCAAGTGTCCCTTTAAGTTTTGACTGATTCAAAGAGGGCATAACCTGGTAACTAGAAGGATTTCTTAATTGAAGAGGTTGGTAGTAAAGGCATTTTCTTTAAATCACCATTTTCTAATATAAAAAATTTTGTGACTTTAGATGGTAATTTTTTTTAGCTGGCAAATTCTGAAATACTTATTTATATACATTTGCAGACGTGTTTCCTAAATTTACTGGCGTAAAACAGAATGATTGTCCTTCTAAAGAGAATGTAAAGGTAAATTATTTCATCATTTTACCTTAGAATCTTTAAATTTTGAAAATTTTAATTAGTATAGTAACTTTCTTTAAAATTATTTTTTCTTTATTTACATGAAAAAAGTTTTCACTCTTATTTTGTCAATTAAATGTTTAAAGATTTTTTTCCTGAAGAAACTAGGATAGAGAAACTGTTTGGCTGCCTTTTTCTTACAAGATATAGCTGTTTTCTTAGTCAGGAGTAGCTAGAACAAATTAAAGATATTTCCGCTTAGCCCTACTGTCTAACTAACGGGGGACAATATTAGTATTCCCATGTGCATGCAGTAAGGTATGCATGATAAGGTGGAATTTTTTTTAAAAAGTTAATAGGGAAATGACAGCATTTCTAAAGATAAAGCTTATAGTCACCAACTATTAATTTTAGTACATTAATATTGAATAAGTAATTGACCTGCTTGGAGAATAGCAGTAATTTTATTTTATCTTTTACCAATTTAGTTATCATCCCCATATAAAACACTTTATCTACCCCAAACATAGAACTACAATAATTTAATTTAACACTATCTAACTTGGTTAGGGAATACAACATAGATAACACTGTCTTGAAGGAGCTCTAAGTTTGGAGAAGAAATATAATCATTAGGTTGAGAAATTATATGATTAGTGTTGTAATAATTTATTGAGAAAATGAAAAAGAAATATACACTGCCTAAAGGAAAGGGAATGCTTAAAATGGGTCTGAAATTTACAGAAAAATGGAAGAAATGATTAGTATATTACCTAATATACTAATATAGGGTCTTTTTTTTTTTTTAAGATTATTTATTTATGCAAGCACTGGGTACAGTCAGAAGTGCGGGAGGGTGAGAGGACTCACCAGAGCCAGAGCGGGGCACAGAACAGGCAGACTGACGAAATACACTTCTGAGGGGAGCAGCGGGCATAGCAGGAGAGGTCTGCATGCTATGTGGGACCCTCCCTGGTGGCCAGTGATCGAACCGGCACTGCAGAGGCTGTGGGCAGCTTCGCAGCCCAGCACTCAACCGCTGCGCCACCGGGGAGGCCCTATTCATTCATTTTTATCTACTCATTCACTTCAATGCCTTTATTAAATAGAGGAGAAAGACTGTCTTATTCATCTCTGTACTGTCTGCTACTCAAAGCTTAAGTGATATAGTACCTGGAGTTGGTACTATAACTTAACTTGTTACTGAAGAGATAAAAGGTTTTATGCAAGTTACTTTTATTATTTCTAAGACCTGTTGTAAACTCTAAATGGAGATAACCCATAGGATAATTGTAAAAGTTAAAGAAGACAATATAAAGGGCATAGGGGCCTCCCTGGTGGCACAGGCGGTTGAGCACAGCACTGTGAAGCTGTCTGCAGCCTCTGTGGTACGGGTTTGATTCCAGCCTGCTGGTGAGAATCCCACAGGCGAGCAGACCTCTCCTGTCTCACCCGCTGCTCCCCTCAGCAGTGTATTTCATCAGTCTGCCTGTTCTGTTCCCCGCTCTGTCTCTGGTGAATCCTCACCCTCCCGCGCATCTGGCCTGTACCCCGGTTCTTATAAATAAATATTTATTTATTTATTTATTTTTAAAGATTTATTTATTGATTGATTGATACAAGCACTGGGTACAGTCAGAAGCGTGGGAGGGTGAGAGAATTCACCAGAGCCAGAGCGGGGAGCAGAGCAGGCAGAAGGACCGAAGTACACTGCTGAGGGGAGCAGCGGGCGGCAGGAGAGGTCTGCGCGCCATGTGGGACCCTCCTCCGGTGGCTGGGGAGCAGCCGGGGATCGAACTGGTGCCGCAAAGGCTGAGGGCAGCTTCGCAACCCAGCACTCAACCACTGCGCCACCGGGGAGGCCCTAAATAAATCTTTAAAAATAAAAAATATAAAGGGCTTAGTCTGGTGCCTTGCACATAGTAGTCATTAAATTAGATTTGCAATATTTAAATTAGCTGTTTTACCTCCTAGTTAACTCGAAACAGAATCAAAATTTGATGGTAGCCTTGTTGATCAAGAATCATGTGATTGTTAACCTCTCCTCCCAATGTCTGTAATTCAACTAGGAGAAAAGGGGTAAAGAAAAGTGGGTTAGTCTCTAAATTTAGTATAAAACTTAGTCTTTATTTCAGTAACTCACAGGAAGCTATTTTAAATAGCACTGCTATAATAACTGAAACTTCTTCAGTCTATGTCTACTACTCTTAATATAACTTTGGCCAAGTTATTTAACTTTTTCAACCTTAGTTTTCTCATCTGTAAGGTAGTGATAATTATAACTTTGTATAACTTAAATAATGTATTTGAAAGACAATATAAAATTATATTCTTCTCTCTTGTTTCTGTTTTCTTAGTTATATTTCTTAAGTGGTTAAAATGCTGAAATATTAATGTATATAAATACGTTGATTTTAATGACACATAGCTGAAATTTATGTTATAATGCAGTGTTACTTCAATTAACAAAAATCTCTGAAAGATAATATTATTTGACTTTGTTTTAGCAGATACAACCTTCTGTGCAAGAGACAAGCTCTGTGAAAACTACCCTTATGTGTCAGACTACACACTTATGTGGAGAACCACCAAATCACCTCCAGTTAGCATTTAATCAAGAATCTGAACATTTACAGAATGTGAAAAACATACCACCTTTACAAATTCTGCCCACCTCAGGTAAGAAATAAACAAGTAAATTATTATAATCAAGGACCTGACTTCTCAATTTATATATGAAAATTCTATGACCATCTTAAAAAGTTGCATGTTTGGGAGACTGGAAATTATAACTAGTAAATTCTAGCTTAGAAATAATCACACATTGGGCTTCCCTGGTGGCGCAAGGGGTTAAGATGCAACCTACGAAGATATCCGCAGCCACTGCAGCAAAGTTCCATCCCTGGCTGGCCAGGGAGCTTCCCACATGGTGCAGAAGACCTTTCCTGACTCACCGCTGCTCCCCTCAGCAGTATATTTCAGTCATTCTGCCTGTTTTGTCTCTGTTGTTAATCCTCGTACCCCCTGCACCTCTGACCTGTACCCCAGTTCTTGTATACATAAATAAATAAATCTTAAAAAAAGAAAGAATCACACATTGTTAGAACTTATTTGCTTTATACCCAAAGGTACTCATATTTGAATTAGAGGAAATATGCACAACTATTTCTATGTAGATTATATACATTGGCATGTGGACCTTATATAAAAAGCCCTGTCATTGGCTAAATTTTTATATGTTAGATTCATTTGACTATAAATACCATTTAGTCTTGTCTTATATGAAGGTATTGTCTGTCTCAAAACTGGGGATGTATGGCACAGGATTCTTACCTAATTCTGATGAGCTCAGCTACTGAGCTCCTTGAAATACTAATATTCAGAACTAGACTAGAGGCAAGTGTAAATATTCCCTAACCATGTCTCCTTCCCTTTAGGCTGTTTTTTGGTTTCCACTTGTCCTTCCAAGGCCAGGAATTTCTCCAAGGCAGCAGAAATTTCTTAGCTGTGTTACTGGTAGTACAGATTAGGAGAAACAGACATTCTGATCTTCCTTTGTTGCTTCCAATGAAAGCACCCTACTATTCAGTGTTTGCATATCCCATTTGTATTAAACTTGACTTATAGTTCTTTATTGTGAAGAAGGAAGTGGAGATCAAAAGAAAAAATATCTAAAGCTACACTGGAAAGCAACTAGGAAGAAAAAACAAAAATTCAAAGTATAAAATATTTATATGCATCCTTTTCTAGAAAAATATTTTCTAGATACTTGGAGAATAACATGGGATAATGTAGAAGTTCTAGGCAATGAGTTGTCTTGAATACCAGTGCTACATTTGAGTCTTTTATACATAAGTATCTTCAAACAAGAGCATAATGCTCTTGTTTTATACTAGAAAAAGTTGACTGTTTACTACATAGAGCATGGATTAAGATGAAGATACTCTGATGTAGTTGGGATCAAATAAGGAAACTTAGTGCTATAGCCTAGAAAAGAAATTATGAGGACCAAAACAAAAGCAGTAAGTATAGAAAAGATGTAGATAAATTAGAAAGATATTTTTATGGCAGAATTGATAGATTGTGTTAGAATGAATGTCTTTTACTCTAAGGTATCATACAATAGTTGGATTGAGAATAAAAGGCAGTACTTATTTGAGACATGTTTGGAACAACAAAGGAATATTTTCTGAATATCTAATTGAAAATATATAACTAGAAATAGGTTTCTAACAGGGTATAACAAGATCTTTAATTTTGGAATTATCAATATGTACAATCTACTTAAAACCAGTAGAATGAATGAAAACACCCAGAAAAATGTGTAGAGTAGGAAGGAAAAGGTCAAGGACAAAATTCTAGGAAACAAGTTCCCTAGTAAAAGTAGGACAAATTAATAAGCTAAAAAAAAGAGGTGTCGAAGAAGGAAAAAGGATATACTTGAGGTCCAGGAAGATAGGTGTATTAGAAACAAATCACCAAGGATATCACATACCACAGAGCACTAAAGTAGAATGAAGAGAAAGGTTTAAGTTGGCAGTGTGAAAGCTTTTTGCTTTTGCAAAGGTTTTTGAATTTTCCTTGTCAATGGAACATAAGTTGGATGGTTTTAAATTGAGAATGGTAAAATCTGAATGTAAACCATTCTTTTAAGAACTTTGCTGGAGAGAATGGAAAGATAACTATAGCTTTAGCAGGAATTAAGCCTGTGTTTTTTGGATGGGAAGAGGTGTTGTTTTGAATCAGATATTTGAACATGCTTGAAAGTTGACCTGGAAGAACTAGGGAATGTTTGCAGTTTTCATTACCATACTTCATAGAAGAATAAGTAAGGGTATCCTGAAAATGGAATAAAGGCAGTAGAGAGAATGTAGTTGTGATGGAGTTTTGTTTTTTATTTTGTTTTGTTTTGTTTTAAAAACACTATGAAAAACCAGGCTTGAAATACTTAAGTCTTTAGTCAGGACTAATTTACTGTATTATTTCAATTTCTATTTATGTGTTGCTTATGAGGAACTACATTGAGTAAAGGTAAAGTTTGTATGATGCTAAAGTAGTTATTCTGCATTTACCAAATTTTTCTGAACCAGAGTGGTTTGCACTTGCCAACTGTAGGTGGCACTATACCTAAGAGAAACTGTGTATAAACTCGAAAAGATACATAGAATTTTACTCTTAGTGGAGAATAATCTCAATGGAGATCATTTTTTTTTTTTCCAAATGTTTAAACAATGAAAATTTTTTTAAATTTCTCTGAAGTTTTGTTACTGAAAGAAATAATTTGACAAAATTTTAAAGTATGCCGCGGACCAGCATAAGATTTAAGAAGCTGAATTTCTAGGTACTGTCAGTTTCTTCAAAAAACCCCTGCCATCACCTGCCACATGAACAGGAAGATGTCTAATTTTTTTTTCATTAAATTAAGTTCAAGTTTTTAGTCACACAAGATTTTTTTTTAAGTACTTTTTTTTTTTTAAGATTATTTATTTATTTATACAGGCACTGGGTACAGTCAGAAGCGCGGGAGGGTGAGAGAATTCACCAGAGCCAGAGCGGGGAGCAGAGCAGGCAGAAGGACTGAAGTACACTGCTGAGGGGAGCAGCGGGCGGCAGGAGAGGTCTGCGCGCCATGTGGGACCCTCCTCCGGTGACCGGGGAGCAGCAGGGGACAGCCTCGCAACCCAGCGCTCAACCGCTGCGCCACCTGGGAGGCCCTAGTCACACAAGATTCTTAACGTTAACTTATCCTTTTATAAAATTTTTAACTCAATTATATTAAGAACTTAAAAAAAATGCTGTAGTATCAATGTGAATTCACATGTCAAATGAGAATGCAAATCAAGGAGTTTGCTACCTTGGAGAAACAGAGAGCTGGCATAGAAGTAAAAATAATGTGCCCTAAAAGAAGCAAAAATGAAATTCAAGGAGCTAATGAAGACAGAATTATCTGATCTTTTTGGCAAGTTATATTTTATAAAATAAGTATTTGAGCTAGATATTAGGGAGGAAAGTATGAGACATCTAGGGAATACAGGGAGATAGATTTGAAAGATAGACCAGGTTCAGAGCATACAGAACCTTGATGTCTGGAGACCTGGGGCATAATGATAATGGTTTAGTCAGTTGGGAGCCAGTGAAATCTACAAAAGGAGGAATCTATGCTTGGTTTTAATCAACAGGGATGTAAAGTGTTTGCTCAGGTGATACTGACTGAATATTGAGCCAGGTTGACAGACCTGGATGATAGCTGAAGAATAGAATTCTGAGGAAAGGGGCCCCACTGGTGGCAGGGTGTTAAAGTCTCAGCCTAATAAGCTATTGCGACCCATTGCAGCATGAGTTCAATCCCCGGCCAGGGAGCTACCCACATGGTGCAGCAGACCTCTCCTGTCTTGCCCACCACTCCCCTCAGCAGTGCATTTCAGTCAATCTGCCTGTTCTGTTCCCCATTCTGTCTCTGGTGAATCCTCTTACCCCCCACCCCACAACTCTGGCCTACACCCCAGTTCTTGTATGCATAAATAAAATAAAAATAAATCTTAAAGAAAAGTCTGAGGAAAGATGAATTTTGAAGTGTCATGGCGTCATCCATATAAAAATGTTTTTCAGAGATTTGGATTCTTGACATATTTCTCAGACATACACTGTGCTCTTGACACCCCATCTCTTTGAAATTCCTAATGGATATTTCTTTAGCTGCCTACTTTTAAATGTTTGTAATAATCTGAGTTACACCCTTAAGCCTATTTTTGCTTTATTCCAGGGCTTTCCAGCCATTTTCCAAAGTATAGCTCATTAAGCTAATGATCAGCTGTCATGGCAGTAGACTTGGAGCAACTTTCCTATTTAGCAGCCATACTATGCCTTGGGTGGTAATCTGCTCATTCTTCCTGGGGCAGTATCTTAATATCTTGGTGTCTGACTTCTAACCTCATTTTTGCAGCCCCCAGGACCCAAGCATGTTTATACAGCTCTACTGAATATCTTTCATACACATCACACAGTCATGTCAAAACACAGCACATTATTACTGAATGTCTCTTTTTTCATCTCCACGAGACTTCTAATGAAGTCTTGATAATAGCACTGCCACTGTTATGTGGTATAAGGAAACCAAGACATCGAGGCTAACAAAAAGCAGGTTTATTATACTGGTACTGACTCAGTGGATCTACATCCAAAGGTTGAGCACCCCTTCAAGTTATGAAGTCCAAGAAATAATGTAGCAAGTTGCTTATCACAGGACCTCTGGCTGTCCTGCTCAGGTGCCTTGTTTCACCACCTTGCTTCACTACCTCTTTCCAACTAAGAGTAAGAAAACTGAGAATCATCTAGAATTTACTTTTCTTGACATTTTTACTCTTTGTGCTTCTCAAATAATTTAGCCCCAGTCAGAAAAAGATTTAGTTCTGTACTTAAAGCTTCCCCCCCCTTTTTTTATTCATATATATTAGTGGCAAAAGGACACTTGTTTGTTGAAATGAGAAAAACCTAGATACATTGAGCCCACTAGGGACGTACATCAATAATTTTAAATCTGTTCTTTCATTCTTGCATCCTTTAGCAGTGCTTTGTCTCACCCTCCTTAGTATTCCTATATTCTTCCAGCCTCAGCTTCAACTAGTGTGATTTAGCCAAGAATTAGTGTATCAAGGGGTTCGATGGGTGATAGAAGTTGAATTGTAAGTTCCTACTGTATAAGTGGCAGGATTGGGCCTCCCTGGTGGCACAGGAGGTTAAGTCACAGCACTATGAAGCTATCCGGAGCCACTGCAGCATGAGTTCAATCCCAGCCAGCGAGCTACCCACACGGTGCAGCAGACCTCTTGTGTCTCGCCTTCTGCTCCCCTCAGCAGTGTATTTCAGTCAATCTGTCTGTTCCCCACTCTATCTCTAGTGAGTATCTCACCTCTCGCACCTCTGGATTGTACCCCAGTTCTTGTATGCATAAATAAAATCTTCTAAAAAAAGTGGCAAGATTTTGTGACCTTGAGTCAGTCAACAAAAATACCCACATAGTTTTCATTTGCCCCCTTTGTCCTTTTGCCACTTATATACACACTATACCTAGAGAGAATTGAAATCGAAATGACTCAGTCAGGTTTCATGCATCAGGATAGATTTGGTGACAAATGACAGAAAACTAAGCTCAAATTGGCTTAAACAATAGGAATTTTATTAGCATACATAATCAGTAGCCCAAAGGTAGGTCAGCTATTTTAGGCATAGTTTGACAAATGCCTAAGCTCTCTTTAAAATAGTTCTTTACCCATAATTAATTTTGTAATTAATAAGAAAGCTTAGCAATTAACAGGATTGCATAGATTATTCTCTTACCTCCCGCACCTCAGTCAACCAACTTACTGAACCCATCTTTTCGCTACTATCATAGGTGTCTAGTATCTTAGTTCTTTCCATTTTTGGTGTGTTTTCATTCATAGTTTGACTACTAATCAGCATCTTTCCCTAGGTACCCTACACTGGCTGAAATCTCTTTCTTAAATGATTCTCTGGTATAGGGGTAGAATTACTGTTGATTGGTTTGGTCTAATCAAGAGTCATATATGGAGCTGAGGTCAGTCTAGACAGTGGAGAACTGTTACATACTTTGGTAGGTAAGCCACAGTGACTGTTATATTTTGTGCTACCTAATGGGGGTGTAAGGAAAATAAGCAGGCTATTTTTTGCCTTACAAACAACAGATAGCTCATAATCTTGAAATGTTAAGTTTTCCACCTTTCCAACATCCAGCAAACAACAGGTGGACTGTGCATGCACAACAGTGTATCAGCTATGTAACTATGGGTCCATAATAGTGTTAAAGGGACAGGAGTGGCCACCCTGGTGGCACAGAGGTTAAAGCAGCACTCTCAAGATATGACTAGCCACTGCAGCGCTAGTTCAATCCCTGGCCACTGCAGCACTAGTTCGATCCCTGGCCAGCCAGGGAGCCGTCCCACATGGCTCAGCAGACCCCTTCTATCTCGCCTGCTGCTCCCCTCAACAGTGTTTTCCACTAGATCTGCCTGTTCTGCTCCCCACACTGTCTTTGATGATTCCTCTCACACCCCCCCACCCTTCTGGCCTACACCCCAGTTCTTGTGTGCATAAATAAATAAATCTTGTACAAAAAATAATAAGGGGAACTAGGAGGCTTAGTTGCTGCCTGTCTCCCTGTGTATATGTTTCAGCATTAAAGGCATGTCAGACACCTCTGAGACTCCAAGGTTCTTCTTCCTTTTGCCCATTGCTTGGCCTGGGATGATTGTGGGGGTGGGGGGTGTCAAGTATAAAATGTCTATTTTACTGTGTAACAGTTCCCCAACTAAGAATACACCAAAGCTCAGAAACATCACAAATAGGTAGTTACATATTGTATAGTTTCTAACCTAGAGGGACTGGGGGAAAAGTCAAATTGTGAACAGGCAAAATGAAATCTTGATAATGCTATTATAAAAATGTGTGCATCTAGGTGATTCTGGACAACATTTGAATAACCAAACTGTGACACAATCATCTGGTAACAATGATACAATGGTGTTAGAATCTGAATGTCAAGCTCCTGTGCAGAAGGTAAGAGTAATGTTATTTTTTTCTCACAAATACTGAAGGGATTTAATTAAAATTGAACATAGATATGGCATACAGGTATTTTAAGATGTATTTTCATTGGGCACCACTGAACTACACTGTGGTTTATGTCTTGTAAGAACAGTGGTCATGGCCAGTTATTTTTTTCTTTATACCAAAGAAAGGAAGGGCATAGTTATCGCTGAGGTTTCTCAGCAAATACTGTGCCATTCTTACGGCATCATTTTATTTTGCCTCATTAATCATTTGTATATTTTCTGTAGAGGAAATAGGATCCCTCTAAGACAAAAATCTTGATTACAATTACTGCTTTAATTATATTCCTTGTATTCCTTGAAGATTATCATACCTTTATAATATATATTAAATTGCAATAATTGATGAATATGCTAGTTCAGCTTGGTCTTAAATGTATAATTGAGTTTATATTGTGTTATATTTTCATATTTTTTCTGACTTTAATACTCTTTAAAATAAGTTTAGTAAAAGTTAGCCTTTGGAATTTTTAATTTGATAAATTATTGTCGATTACTGTGTCAAAAATACTGTTTTTCCTCTCAAATTTTGTTGTCTTCTATAGATATAGACTGAATCAATTTTTTGTTTTAGGATATAAAGATCAAGAATGCAGAATCCTGGAAAAGCTTAGGCAGGCCAGTGAAAACACCAGGTGTACTGAAATCCTCAGATGAGCTCTTCAACCAGTTTAGAAAGGCAGCAATAGAGAAGGAAGTAAAAGCTAGAACGCAAGAACTAAGACGTAAACAACTGGAACAGAATACAAAGGAACCAAAAGTATTTCAAGAAAATCAGAGGTCTGTAATTTATAAGATTAAAGAAGGCTGGCATATTGGAAGATACAGACATGTATTTTAAATATATCAAATTTCTTTTTTGTTAAGTGCTTATGATTTAGTTGTCTAGTAGAACAGAGCATATTATTATTATAAAAAAATTTCCATTGATGTATTTTATTAATAAGTAGTAGCATCAGCTTTGAAGAAGATAGAAATAATTAAGTGATTAAGCTATTAAAGGCACTAATATTAAGAGACACTAATAGAACAATACCGATAGAAGATTATTTCAGGTTTGAGATTTGCAATGACAATACCTCATGGTGATGCTTAACATTAACTATAATGTAATGAAAGAGAAACTTTACGGCCTCTATAGCACGAGTTCAATCCCTGGCTGATCATGGAGCTACCCATATGGCGCAGCAGACCTCTCCTGCCTTGCCCGCTGCTCCGCTCAGCAGTGTATTTCAGTCAGTCTGCCTGTTCTGCTCCCCACTCTGTCTCTGGTGAATCCTCTCACCCTCCTGCACCTCTGACCTGTACCCCAGTTCTTGTATGCATAAATAATCTTTTTTAAAAAGAGAGAGAATCTTTACTTAGACATTTAAAAATAATTTTCTTTGCATTTGCTGCCCAAGAAACAGTGGAGAGATGGTGATTGATAAGTTTTCAAATATTTATATTTGGGCAAGTTAACTATAGCAAATTTAAAAACAAGGGAGGGGGGAAAAGGGAGATGGGTTTAAATAAAAAGAAACTTTCTAAATAATATATGTGGATACCAAAAAAAAAGGATAAATCTAGCTTTTTTTGAAGTTTAGGGTGACTGAGTGTTCGTTATTATCGTTAAATAATAATACCCAAAAGTGAAAAAAAGATACTGACATTACTAAATTATAAAAACATGATTATTTTCTAGAAATGTCTTAATGTTGTTGGCATTCCATATGTAAAAGGATTGTGATACACCTTGGTTAGTTTTCTAAAACTTTCATTTTGTTAATGTAGGTAGAAGGTTATACTGTTAATGTAGGTTGTAATGAAGGTTATCCTATGTAAAAATTTACATCAGAAATAGTCATTATATATGAAAAAGGAAGTTATCTAGAACATTTCTTTGTCATTTAACAGATTATCTTGGTAATTCAAACTTTTAAAGAACCTGAGAAACCTAATCTGAGCAATTCTATTTTTTTAAGGGACCGTGGCTTCACTTTAGAATCATTTTCTAATAAAATGCAAAATAAGTGCCTTGGAGAAGTGCAAAAAGAGCAGCAGCAGTCATTGGAAGCTCAGGATAAATGCAAACTCTGGCTTCTCAAAGACCGTAATTTAGCAAGGGAAAAAGAGCAAGAGCGGAGGAGGAGAGAAGCAGTAAGTGATTTTTTTCTTTACTATATCTAACAAAGGAAAGATTTAAACAGTAACTTTTGCATACTGAAAGGTGTATTCAGGTGGTTTTTCAGTGACAATGGAATTACCTCTTTAATGAGGATAAGGTTCTGAAAATCAGAATCTAAAATAAAAATTTCATAATCACAAGATACAATCTTAAGATAGTAACAGTATGAACCCTAGAGCTACTAGACTACATGGGTTCAAATCCTGGTTCTCCCATTTTGGTCCTGAGGAATTTATTTGACTGACCTTGTGCCTCAAGTTTCCTTATCCCTAAAGTGGGATAATATAACCTACTTGTTATTGTGGGGGCATCCCTGGTGGTGCATGGGTTAAAGTCTCAAGCTATTGCCAGCGACTGCAGCATGAGATCTCTCCTGTCTCACCTATTCTGCTCCTCACTCTCTCTGGTGAATCCTCTCACCCCACTCACCCCCCACCCCCACCCCCTATACCTCTGACCTACACTCCAGTTCTATGTAAAAGAAAAAAAAAAGTGTTAAAAAAAAAATGAAAATTACAATAACAGAGTTCGAAGAGTTCATTAACCTCATACCAATTCCCTTGACAATGTTTTTGATCTTAAATATGAATGATTTAAGTACATATTAGGACCCACTAAGAAAGGAACATCTATGGTATCAGTTGTCGACAGCATCAGTAATTAAATCATGATATCTAAGATTAATTATTATAGAGAATAACCAGTTCTGTATCAATAATTATTCCCAAGCACATGTTAAGATGGAGGAGAATCTAAAATAACCTTTTTAAGAAATTAAATTTTTATTATAATTTTCTTTATTGAGGTAAAAGTGGTTTACAACACTGTGTATGATTTAGGGGAACAGGTTCACACCTCCTCAGATACCTGTGACCACGCCACACCCACCAAAGCACCCATAATCTTTTACCACAGGCCATTGGGTCCCGTTACCCCTTTATTCCCACTCCCACCCTCCTTCCCACTTCAGGTAAAATTTGTTTTCTTGGTCTTAATTTTCTTGGTTCTTTAGTTTATTTTTGATGGGGTTATTTTAACATTTAATAGACAACAGTTTTCTCTCTTGGAGAAAGGATAAATTTAGTGTTCTTGTAGGCTTTAATTTTTTTATCACACAAACAGTATTTTAACAAAACGTCAGGTAGTATTTGAACAAAGATGAAAATCATATACAGATACCCATTATGTTAAATAAATTGTATTAATTTTATATGATCTGTCCAAGTACTGTGTAATTGTTTTAATATATAATTAAGGCATTTTCTTAAATAACATTTAAATTTTCCCTTTTTTTTCTACAGATGGCTGGTACCATTGATATGACTCTTCAAAGTGACATTATGACAATGTTTGAAAACAACTTTGATTAAAATTCAGTTTTTTAATTAGCCATCAGATTAAAGTAAATGATAAAAGATTAAAATGCATATGGTAAAATGATTGCTTTCATACACCAAGATATCTTACATTGTATTTTGACTGCTCTAAAATTATTAAACAATTTTCACTTGCATTTTTTAATAGCTATATGTTCTTTTTTTTTTTTTTAGGACATAATTTACAGGAAATTTTACAATTTTGGATCCCTAGAAATTGAAAAAATTCCCAGATAATGTCATTCATTCTACAAATAACTGACTGCTGTATACTACAAACCCTTGTCTAAGCAATGTAAAGCCCCAAAAAGTAGTTCTTGTTTAAAAATGAATATATAGAAGTGTGTCATACATAGTTCCTGTTGCGTTTTAACTTTTAAAGCAAATATTTGTCTGCCTCCAAAATATTTAGTACCTCTAACAAGCAACACTTGATTTGAGTGTCAGTTTACATAAGATTTTCTGCTAGTTCTATGTTGAAATTTAAAGAAGATATTATGTATGGTTTGGAAGATGTTAAATTTGAGGCAAAATAATAAATGTTAATTATGTATGTAAGTTTCTGTCGGAACTTATGATAATTTTAAGTATTCATATATGATAGCAATTAATGTTTAAATTTTTACTTAAGTACTTTTTTTATTTAAATCTGTAAAATATTTTTGTTTAGTACTTCTCAAGTTGCAATTATGTATAATGTGTCAGCTTCTTGTATTTAAAAATTTTCAGCTCTGAAAGTGTAATACAATTGACACTACTATGAAAGCATCTAAAGTAAAAACCCAGTGTTTATATATTATAGTTTTCTGGACTTTATTTATTTTTATAATCAATATAATTTTTAAAATATCTTTAAACAATGTTTATTTTCATATGTTTTCAAAGATACATCAGAGATACATAATAATAGTATATGATGGTATTATAGGTATTTTCTAGATTCTCTTTAGACTTTTCAGTATTGTTTGGTTCTTTTTAGTGTTGATTATGTAATACTTTTAAGATCTATGGGAAATCTCCATTTTGAAGAAAGAGAATAAAAATAGCAAATAAGAATTAGTGTCAAATACACATATTAAATCTTTCAACAATTGCCTTTAAAGAACTAAAACTGATCTTTTGCACCAAAAAACCCCCACAAAAGTGCAGTATTATTAATATAGCCTCTTACATCAAGAATGATGACTTGTTTGAGTTTTCCTATAAACATTTGGAATAGCCCTTATAGAGAACTATGTTATAGTTACCAGTGTTTAGTTTAACCATCTTAACACCATAACCATTTTTCAGTCTGTAAGGGACCTGGAACATTATAGATACACAACAAATTTTTGGAGGGTTGGTTTAGCAGAGAAAATACTGGTTTATAAATATTATTTTCCTAAATTATACAATTTTTTAGTAAAAAATTGTTGGGCTTCTCAACTTCTTTCATGGAGTTTACTTCTGTTAACTTCATACATGAAATAGTACTTATAATTTATTTGCTTTCAACTTAATACCTGGTTTTGTGAAAACACCTTTCCTGTCCTTATCTCTTATTTAGCTCTGACTTCTAAAACTTTCTCATTGTGTTTTCTGGGATTAATGATCAGTAATCAACAATATCCCTTTTATTATCAACCATTTTGTTTGTTTCTTTTTGTTCTTGCACTGTTCTGGAGATGTGGTCTCTGGACCAACTGCATCAGCATCACCTGGGGGGTTTTAGAAATGCAAATTCTTAGACTTCAGACTTATTAAATCAGAAGCTCTGGATGTGGGGTTCAGCAATCTAATTTGGTGTGATTCCAAAAACACTAAAGTTTTGAGAACCACTGCTCAAACTGAATTCTGACTTTCTCACACAGGCTGTCATTTAATGCCTGTGTGTTTCATTAGTATTTTTCTTAACTTTTGGTTTATCATGATCAGACTGTATGTCTCCCATATCATTTACTATCCCTGCTTCACTTCTTGTTCCCCAGAGATTTTAATCTCTCTCTTACTGTCACTCTCCAATTGACACCTCCTGATCCTTTGACATCTCTGCTAAAGGTAATAGCTAATGAGCCTCAGCCAATCCTTTGTCATTACCAACAACTAACATGTCAGGTTCAAGTGCCCTAGTCTCTTACTACTTCCTCCTGGCTTTTCCTATTTGATTTAATATTAGCTCTTGACCCCCACAATCATCAGACATCCACAAGACCTACTAATCTTAGTGCCTTTTCACAAGTATGTCTACCCTTCATGATCTCAATTCTCTATCTAAAATTTGTAGTGGACTGTAGTTATAATTACTCCCTCACCTACCACTTTCAACTCTACTTCTCCTTTCTTTGCTATATTTACCTAGCAAATATGTCTGCCTATTCCACAACCATGAAACTAATTATGGTTGGAGAAAGACAATAATGTCAGTCAGTCTCAACTTCCAACTTTTTAAACATAAACTCAAATACCCTTACGTGGACTTCTAGTGAGTCCTGGACCTGGGACACAATGGTGAGGGAAATTAGTCATGGGGGACTGTCATGTCCCGCATGCAGTAAATCTTTATTGTCTGAGTGCTCATTATATACGATTTTAATTGCAGCAGGTGTAACATCAAAGCATACCATATAATGACAACACATATGAATGATTAGTCTACTTTCTTATTATTATCTATTTACTTCAGTCATTAGGGTACCAGGTGGTTAGTTCTCACGCACATACTCTTATCGCCCCCTAGCTGGAGCTTGGGAAGTTCGCTCATTATTTTTGTTATTTTAGGACCTTGGAGATGTAGAGGCCTGACTCCATGCAGGTCACTTTCCGGGCACTCAACACCAGGTCCCGTCTCTCAGAGGTTTTCCTCCGAGACGCATGTGTTTTCACATGCCTTGGGGACTCAGGTCAAGGCCCTTTTGCTCACTTTGCGAAGTCTCTCCCAACACCCTTATTGCTGTGCAGAAATCTTAACTAGTTGTTTCCATAGCCCATTCACTCTGGTGTTCTAGGCAGCAAATTATATCTGCATCCTGCTGAGAGTGCCAATCAATACCACCTCCTAGTCATTACTCTATGCTACCTATTTCAGAAGAAAGCTGAGGATTTCTACAATGATATAGGAGCATCATTGTTCATAAGCTGTGTTCTCCTTCTGTTATTAAGGAGATGTCCATGCTCTCACTTAAGGTGAGTAACAATTTTTTTTTATCTACACAAAGAAATCACTTCAGCATTTCTGGTTTCTACCAGCAATGATCTCACTTCTAGAGTTAACAACATATAGATTTGGATTTTCATAGTTACCAGCATATAGATTTGGATTTTCTGGAGGATGAAACTGGGTTTTTAAGTTGGCTACTCAACTCCTTTGCCCATTAAAAAAAAAATTCTTTATAGAAATTCAAAAATTAAGATGTAATTCACCTTTCAAAATGCCATTCAAGTGGTTTTTAGTATAATCACTCTGGGAATTCTTAACATCTTTTTATAACTTCTGGATATTAACATATTGTGTTTCAATTGGTTTCCCTATGTAATGTTACCTATCAATTGTAGAATTGTTGAAAACAGTTTGCTAATCCAAAAATCAGGTAACAAGTTATTTATACATGAATATTATATATAGTTATGAATTTTGTGATATTTTATCATTTTTAAATCACAAAGTTTTTAGAGATAATTTGAAGATAGAGGTCAGAAATCATAAGAAAAAGTTTCTCCTCCCAAGAGATCAAACCTTGTATATTTTTCCTTTTTTTTTCATATTTTTCCAAATATGGAAATGTAGACTGAGGGGCTTGTTTTTATAACAAATATGATCATTTTTACATGTTATTCAGCAACTTATTTTTCCTTAAATATTTTACGCATTCAAACACAGGGGTGCAGGCCAGAGGTGCTAGGGGAAGAGGATGTGAGAGGATTCACCAGAGGCAGAGTGGGGAGCAGAACAGGCAGATATACTGAAATACACTGCTGAAGGCTGCAGCAGGCAAGTCAGGAGAGGTCTGCTGTGCCATGTGGGTAGCTCCCTGACCAGGTTTAGAACTCAGGCTGCAGTGGCTGCTGATGGCTTGATAGTGCTGAGACTTAACTCCTTGTACCACCAGGGAGGCCCAGCAACTGATTTTTCTTAAAGCATCAGCATCTGTTTAAGTCATTAGATGGATACATACTAGCTCATTTTTTAAAAGAACACAGTGTTCCTTAGTACAGCTATATCACAATCTATATAATTACCTATTGACTCAGTTACTGATTCTAGTGCTTTTTCTATCCTGAACAGTTCTGAAATACCCTTTTTATCTAGCCATAACAATTATGTTCTTATTTCATGAGCACAGAGCTCCTAAAATGGATTGCTATATCAGAAGTTATAAAGGGAATGGTTTTAATTTTAATACATGGTGCCAGGTAGCTTAAAAAAAAATTGGAATGAGACCCATTCCCCTAAGTTTGAAGGTACCACTTTTCCATTTTCCTTACCAACATTAGTGTTATTGTCCTCATTTTTTTGTCAAGCTGAATGAAAAATTATATAATCTGTCTTAATTCACAGGTGGGGTCGATTATATTTGTTGACCGTATGGTTTGTCTGGTCACTAATAATCATTCTCTTTAGGGTTTTCTTAACAGTGTGAATTCTCCTCTTTTAAAAAATGCTGGCCCTTTGTTTTAGAAACTTTTTCACAGTATTTGCCTTTTGAGGTTTATTGTCATTTTTCCATTGCAGTATAAAATTTTACATATTCTATGTCTAGATTTTCCTTTATAATGTGTAGACATTTTATCTTGTTTTGGACCATATCCCCCACATCAAGATGATAAAGTATTAATACATTTTTTGTTTAAAATCCAAATATAATTTGTTAAATCCTAAAATGCCAAATGGATTAAAAATGTTATACCACATAGTCGAGGTGTGTAGTACACTGTAATGATAAGGTTTCTGTACTACATTTGCAGGTTCACACAACGAATCACCTAATAATGCGTTTCTCAGAATGCATCCCCATCAGTAAGCAACACATGACTAAAACAGTCTGCAGATAAATCCAATTTGCCTAAGTTTTACATTTATTTACATATTCTGTGCTCCTTTTGTGCTAAAATGGCAAACTTCAGTGGGCATAACCAATTGCAGGGCCCTCAAATCTAAAACATTTACTATTTGACTTCTTGCTGAGGATTGCCAAACTAGACCTACAAGATAAAATGAAAAGGTTTCATATACATCACATCCAAATCCTTGAAACTGACCAAGAGAACGAGGAAGATCATTAGGAGATAAGCAATGTGATTTTCTTAAACTAGTGATAAATCCTTTTATCTTAGAAATATAACATCCCAAGCAGATAAAAAGAAATCCATACCTTAGACATGTTTCCATGATCTGCACAGTATCATAAGCCAAGATTTTGCACACAAATAAGAATGCGCAACCAGCAGCAGTAACCATCATAAAGAATTGTCAAAATTTGGGGGCCTCCCTGGTGGCGCAAGGGGTTAAGCTGCAGCACAACCATGAGTGCAATCCCCAGCCAGGGAGCTGACCCACATGGCACAGCAGACCTCTCCTGTCTCGCCCGCTGCTCCCTTCAGCAGTATATTTCAGTCAATCCACCTGTTCTTTTCCCCACTCTGTCTCTGGTGAATCCTCTCACCACCCCCCACAAACCTCTGGCCTGTACCCCAGTTCTTATATGCATAAATACATCTTTTTTAAAAAATTGTCAAATTTTTGAGGAAAATAATTGTCCACTTGAAATGTAGAGAACATTTGAGGATTGTGTCTTTTCCAGCAT